CGTTTCTAAAATAGCATACTTTGAAGGTGATAAAATAATTTTAGATGAATACCTAACTAACATTTTGTGTATTATATTATTGATCTTTTCCCGACAAGTTTTAATCGACAAGTTCTACGGGGACGGTGACTGGTGCTTGAAGAGCCTAAAAGCACAGAAAGTGGATTCGAAGGATCCGACAAAACATGTTCCGGGTGACGGCGGCTATGCGTTGCCCGGTCGATATGTAATTAGCGAAGGCAACGATAAGAGAGTTATCGTGTAGCCCCGCTTTTCAAAGTAGCGTTCTGACGCTTTTTTTAGATACTTACTATCAGTTATATCTTTAGGTCGTCGTGAAGGTCGACATTTCTCAAGTACCACGGTGCTTCGATGGCTATCCTGCAAAAACGGGATCGAATGACCTGAAGAGAGTTTAAGTGCATGCGGGCCCGGAGCGATAAATATACTTGTATAGGTCATGACAGAACGTATGCAGGATTTATACTGACACCTTGTTATAAAGGCACAATTTTCTTCACTTGCAAGTCATGGGGTAGAGTCGACCGAGTAGGAACACGGCTCGGTCGTGTATGATGTTCGCGACCTGAGGTGGGGACCGAATGTCATCCCTCTGTCAAGAGTGACGCTTAGCTATTTGGCCTTCGAAGTCCACGGTATGGGCTGGTCACAGATTCAGACGGCGAAAATGGAGTTACCGCGCCTAATTCGGGACAAGATGCTAGTAGTGGTGTCGGGAAGGCGACCCCTTTTGAAGAGCACAGCTGTGTTTCGTGGATTGATGTCAGTGCGCCACTTCCGGAACCACTCTGCTAAATTGGTGGTTGTAATCTGTAGTTTATTATGCATGAACGACAACTTCCTACTCGAGTAGTAGATGGTCGTATCATCAGCGAAAAGGGCTAACTGGACCGGCGACCGGAGTATATCGTTAACATAAAGGCTAAACAGTAGCGAGGAGAGAGCAGATCCTTGCAAGACTCCGGCTAAGATTTGTCACGGGTGAAAGTGAGTTCCCTCTACTCGATACCAAAACGTACGGTTCGACAAGAAGTGTCGTATGATGAGCACGAGACTGTCTGGCGCGCCTATTTTGTATAGTTTGTAAATCAAACCGTTGTGCCAGACTTTGTCAAACGCCTTCGCGATATCGAAGAAGAGGGCTTCGTGGGGAGAGTTCTGCGTCTGTTTAGCCCTAATAAGGTGCGCTCCGTGAAGCGGTGCTCTTGCTGAATGCACGACTGTTTCGCACGGAATACGAACTGTTCGTGTATGAGGATGCCTTTCGAGGTGATGAAGTTCTAGAGGCATTTGCGTAATGGCCATTCGTATAATTTGTCTAACACTAGAAGGAAGCTGATCGGACGGTACCCGTCTTTTCCGTAAGTTTCATTGTAAAGAGCATATTAATAAACTTATTATTTAAGATTTTAAATGTGGAAGAGCATGCGGTGATCTCCTCAGTATCATATTTTATATTCCTACCTTGACATGATCTTCTATAATACCAGATAGCAATCATTCCAATGCAACTAAAATAATTGACTACTGTTGACATATAGTAGCATTATGGGAAGAATCACTTTATGACGTTATTAAGATGTAAAATATGTTTTTAATAATATGTATTTTTTGAATTAGTAACCATTAGTTTGTTGATTGTGTAACTCTTTGAATTATAGATTGTGGTGTCCAAAGTTTTAGGATTATTTATTATTGTGCTTCTAATGTAATTTAAACAATTTATTTTTAATGTAATTAATAAATACACAAAATACTAGCTGTACCCATCCGCTTCACTGGGACACTTCACATTTAAAATTAATATTATTATTTCGCACCCCCACAAAGATTATCATCATTAACGCCCCGCAACTGGTGTAGGGAGTCCAACACTCATATATTTGCATATCCATTAAATACATGTATTTTCTACATGGATACCAAGTTTCAAGTCAATCGGATGCATGGTTCAGTAGTTATAACGGAACATCCGTAAAAACCACTGTAGATTTATATATCAGTATAGAAGTATAGATTTGGTAAAAAGTTAATTGGATAATATTGACCTCTATGCCTAATGGTGTTGAGAATACACTGGGCTACATTCCGAAAAAAACCCTAAACTTTAAAAGAACTGAAGAGTGTCAATGGTGATCAGCTATGTATGATTATGTTATATGATTTATAATGTCATATGAAATTTCGATTACACAGCATACAGTAACCCTAATAATCTGGAAAACTCATCATTACCAATAAAATAGAACACAAAAGGCTAAAGCCCAAAGAAAGTCTTCCGATCACATGACTCGGGAGCTAGAAATGCTAGTAACTAAGCTCTTTATGAGCCCAAAAGGATAAATAAGGATAAGGATGGAGAGAACAATGCAAAGAGTATAGACGGGAAATCATCATCAACAATGATGTAATGTTTGAGAAGAAGAATAAAATCAGCCTAAAAATTTTTACACACTGCTAAATATAATTAAATTACCATAATCACAAGGCAACTATTTTGTAACAACTAATTTCTAAATGTAAATATTTAAAACTCTTACTACTACCTTTCTATAATAGGTTAGAGAAAAAGTATTTTATTTCCTTCAAATTCATTCATTTGTTAAATTCATTTAATATGACAGAAAAATAGAAGGAAACCATTGTTTATGTTTCTAATTTAGAATATCATATATTTGATGATATCAATAACAGCCATAAACTAATAATTTAACTAGAGATTTTACCATTTTTTTAAATAGATTATAATATATATACTTATAAAATACTAGCGACCCGCCCTCGCTTCGCTTCGGAAACATTAAAACACACATGAAACCAAAAAAATAAAATATTTTTTTTTTAAAAAGTAGCCTATGTTCATCAGGGACAATGTCGGCTTCTAATGGAAAAATAATTTTTCAAATCGGTCCAGTAGTTTCGGAGCCTATTCGAAACAAACAAACAAACAAATCTTTCCTCTTTATAATATTAGTATAGAGTATAGATAGATGAAAAAACTACATCCCGAACCTTAACTTACATGATTCATTTATTAATATGTATACAAAAAATCAATGTTTATAGAATGGGTTAAAATTGTATTTATATTTAATAAGAAATAAAAAAGAAAACCATTTTGTTTTCTAAAAATACAATTTACATTGTATTGTTTTCTAATGTTTATAGTATCCAGTGGATTTAAAAGTTAAGTAATTTAATATAGTAGAATAAAATAAATATTTCATATGTTTTAAAATATGTGTTTTTTCTATGATTGGCAAAAAAAAATTTAATCACGAGGAACTTTTTGAACTCCCTAAAATATACAAATGCAGTAATGCATGTTACACAGTGGATATTACACGGACAGTAATAGCAACGTTTACACAATTATATAATGAAAATTATTTGTCTAATAGCACCAAAATAATTAAACACGAGCACAATTAAAGAATAAGCCACCGATGATATGAGAGGCTTTAACGTAACAAAATAATGCACTTTTAAATGAAAATGAACTTACATGCATTGGAGATGAAAGCCATGACTTATGACTTGTGAATTTAGAGAGCAAAAACCATAACTAGCTGGTAAAATTAAACCTTAAAAATACATTTTTACTGACCCCACGACCTCTCGTATCGTTCGTTTACCCGTCACAACATCTGTCAAGCTGTTGTTAAGGAACCCATTTTTTAATACGTTCTAAAACCGCGATGTATTTTTGTTCATCTTTCAGGTTCTTACTTACACAGCCTAACATACCTTTACTGATAGAATTCGTATGTTCTCTCCAAAATATTTATTAATTATTTTATATTAGAACTATAAAAAGGTTGGAACATAATATAACAATGTTTATTGATAAAATCAGGGCTATCACCAATTTCCGAAGATCATTTACCTAGTACAAAACTCAATTTCTCAAATAATATGTCGTTATTTTACTGTCATCAATTAAATCAATTAATTGAAAAAAAATAGAAATTTTGGAATGGAGGGTAAAGGTAGGGAGAACGATTTTATATGGGACACAATTTAATAAAGTGTTCAGCTATACGACCAAGTTACAACTTAGAATCCACCAAGGTGGAGTCTGCTGAGTTAGAATTTTTGTATTATTGGGAACTTAAGTTACTTCTTACGGTAGCAATACATTAACGATTGCATTTCAACGAACACTTTTCATACTTATAGGACTAGGACTAGAGATTGTGCTCCTTAGCTTGACCCGTCATTCTTTTTGGTAAGATAATCAGGAGACAACTTGTGTGATTTTATAAATTTAATATTATTTTGGTATTTAGATTACGCATAAACATGACATAGCAACGACAGTTCTGATCGTCTCTGTGTGATCGTCACTCTAAAACTGTTTGATGAACAAATCATTATATGCCACTGCCTCCCACCAAGAGCTCTCTTCAAATCTCACTTGAAGAAGAACATGTCATAACGTAGAGGATTATACCGTGGAGGGAAATTATTTTCAAAGCTAAACTGTACGTAAAAAAAAGTCTGAAAACGCACTTTGGATGAACGCAGCGGCTTTAAGTAATGCGGATTAAAATATGTGATAAGATAGATATGATGGAGAAAAGTGAAACAAAATTATTGGATACGGTCTAACGAATTGTGACGCGGGACAAAAATATATTATTCTAAGATATTATTCAGGGTTCTTCCAAAACTCTCAATAAATTTCTCATCATTTTATTGAAAAGCTACCTCATTTTATATCTTCCAACTATTATGATCTCATCTTATTTCATCTTGTTTAACTAAATTTTATTTCAATCTGTTTTTTAAAAATTGACATTGATTCATTGCTTGTTGCAAAAAGTTAGGTACGTTTAAAGACTTTTAAATTTTAAGCCTGTTCAATCGATGAAAAAAAATCAAATTCAGTCAATGTCCAAATTGGCCCGATGCTGTCAAATGTCATAAGGCCGACAATTTTGCAAACTTTGTTTATGTACGGTCCTTTCATTAAATTATCTTGCAACAATTTTAACTAAAATAGTAAAACTTGTATGAAATTACTGTGCTTTATAAAAAGATGGATTAATATCAGATCAATCCGATTATTTTAGAATGTAAGTGTATGTTAATTGCAAGGATATTTACTTTGAAAAGATACTATGATTGTGACTTATTGCCTACGTAAGTATTGAATACCTAAAATCAATACTCAATCAACCAGTTATTTAGGCCCTTGAATTCGAGGTGGCTATGTGGAATGTCATATTTACCAAATTGCAAAAAAAAATATAAATAATTTAAAATGCTAAAAATAATCTAGAATTTTAGAGTATTCGTTTTCATAAAATCAGTTTAACGTAAGTTTATAGTAAAAATGATATCTAGTTAAATGTCTGATTTTTAAGATAGAGAGTGTAAAAATGAATTCATTAAATTGTTTTATATCCATCAGACCTTGATAAACAAACAAAACCTTGTATTTAAAATAAAGTACAAAAAAGTGACTCCAATATAAAGAGTTTAACCTTCACAGCTATTGGTTACTAGAGGTAACGTTCTCATATAACAACAAAAAATAAATTACTCAAATAATAGCAAATACCAAAATAAATTTCAGAATAATTTCGTAACTGAACATAACTGTGATTTCATACAACCAAAACAAAAATAAAATCATAATAATTTAGGTATTGCTATTAAATCAGCAGAAAAATTACTGTAAAATAAAGTGTTCTGCAGATGTAAGTTTAAATTCAACTAAAAGTAACACAAGAGTGTTAGGATAAGGATTATTAAAATAATTAATCCTAAATCACTACATAGTATAAAACAAAGTTGCTTTCTCGGTCCCTATATCCCTATGTATGCTTAAATCTTGAAAACTACATAACAGATTTTGATGTGGTCTTTTTTTAATAGATAGAGTGATTGAAGAGGAAGGTTAATATATATGATAACATCCATTAAATAGTGGAGAAATCAATAATAAATTACAGTTTCCGAAGCGAAGCGAGGACGGGTCGCTAGTATTATATATACCTAACTAAACAATAATAAGTATAAAGTATATAATAAATATGAAATAATAAATATATACCTAACCTAAACATAATATATACTGTCTAGATCAGTAGCTGCAAATTAAAGACGGTGAAAATGGAAAGTCCAACAAATTAAACAGTTTTTTCTTACAGTTCAACTTCATCATTGATCGGCAGGAATATGAACCTAAAAAGATAAAGAGACAGAAGTAAAAATGTTTAAAATTGAATCATATGTGACACCAATCCTTTTGAGTTATGTGGACAAATATGTTCGTGACTTCAAACCAGCTGATGCACAAGTAAGTACATTCATAAAGTACCCTAATCAAATGTAGATAATTGAAATTTATAAATTTAAGTGCATACAGACAGTGGTGGGCAAGTAATTCAGAGATTAATTTAAGAGAATAATTCAGAGAACTTGAAGTAGGTAACAAATTTTGTTTTCAAACAATTAATTAATTAATCAAATGTAGATAATTGAAATTTATAAATTTAAGTGCATACAGACAGTGGTGGGCAAGTAATTCAGAGATTAATTTAAGAGAATAATTCAGAGAACTTGAAGTAGGTAACAAATTTTGTTTTCAAACAATTAATTAATTAATCAAATGTAGATAATTGAAATTTATAAATTTAAGTGCATACAGACAGTGGTGGGCAAGTAATTCAGAGATTAATTTAAGAGAATAATTCAGAGAACTTGAAGTAGGTAACAAATTTTGTTTTCAAACAATTAATTAATTGATAAAACACACTTTCTGTTATCAGAACTGTTAGCTCTTGTCAGGTCTTATCATATAATATCTAATATTGTTAAACTAAATTTTAGCTCATAATTATATATGTTACATTGTCTTATCAATAATATTGCAGAAAATTATTTGAATTCAACAATCACACAATCTATAGTAATTCATAGGGATGGATTAATTATATTTATGTGTATACCATTTAAGTTTTTATTTTTTTTAAGTTGAATTTGTTTTAATGTGATAAAATAATAAATGTTTGAGTTTTAACTGTCAGTTACATACTCAAATATGGATATGACTATGAGTCTATTATAACATTTTAATTTGGAAAATAACACTGAAATAAGCAGGACCAATAGACTAATAGAATTTACAAGAAAACTTCTGAATTAGTAAACAAAAACTGTTTTTCTACACAAACGATCATAATGTACAGGTGTCACTATGGGGAGGAGGAGTGGCACTTCACAATCTCGTACTCAAGGCGGATGTGTTGCAGCAAGAACTAGCTCTTCCGTTTACCCTAGTCTCTGGGCGGATTCATGAACTCTTAATACAAGTGCCATGGACGAAAATTATGTCAGAACCCATCATTGTCACCATAGATACCATAGGTATAGTATTTATTGGTTTTTATAGTACAACTTAAATCAATTCAACTTTTTAAGATATTCTTCTGTCCCTTCTTTGTTATATTGATATTAAATCTAACTCTATTTTTCAGAATGCGTTCTAAGTCTCAATCCTCCTGCACCAAATGAAGAGACCGTACCTCCTGACTCTCCAAGGTAGTTTCCATTTACAAAAAAAAAAAACAGCTATATAATGTAATATGCTGTGTAAAATTCCACTATTAGATGATGGTGTTATGTCAATTTAGGAATAGATCCATGTTATAACATGAGGCGGGTCGGTTTGTTAAAGATGACTGAAGGATTCGTTTGAGAATAGGCGTATAATGCCAGTAATGCATTCCAGTTTATTGAAATCACCAACAAGTACTCACTGATAGAGTAGGGTATGCTGTAGTTGAAGCTGTACAGTTAAATGCTACCATCCTATCTATTTATAACGTGTAGTGGTCATGCATTTCCATTTTTTATTGTGGATGAGCTGTTATACGATACAATGGAGAATTCAACCTCAAGTTTCCAGCTAAGCGGCGGCGTTCTTTTTGGAATATCTATGGGTTCTGATAACCGCTTTACACCAGTTGGACTATAAGTTCGTTAACCAATTTATGCAATAAAAAGATTATTTCTCTGTTTCAAATAGCAGACGAGCGCAAGTCGTAGAAGCACCTCCGGGTTACATGCAAGCATTAGTGCGCCGTATCGTGAGCAACATAAGCCTCCGAATACATCACCTCATCGTGAAATATGTGCAAGATGATATCGTAATGTCACTGAATGTGAAACATCTAGCTGTCGACAGTGCCGACTCGGATTGGGAACCGTCTTTTGCTGGTATGTTGATTTACTTGACTTTCAAATTTATGCAAAAGCGAATTGCTCGCGTTTCTGTTTTATCAATTGTAGCTGAAACAACTAGTACGGTGTCACTTCATAGTGCAGTGCGGAAAATTGAATTAACCAAACCAAAAAATACCTTTTATTTAGTCGTTCATGAATATGGTATTTTTTCATATGATTTTCGGTGTCGTCTGTGGCTTGCGTGCGTCGCGCTGAGCGCTGCTGCTTTCAAACCTATAGAATATATTTTTAAAACAGATATCGATCAGAACCTGCCCATCATCAGGAGGCTCGTACATCTAGATGACCTAACCCTCTGCCTGGACAGAGCTGATTCTGATGGCAAGATAAGATTCTACCAGGAACCTTTGCTGTATCGATGCCAATTAGAGTTAAGGTGAGAACACAAATACGACAATTATGAAGTTGACGAAGGATGAAAAAGTTGATATGTTTGTATGGTACCTTATAGTTAAGATATTATTTTCTATAAGATAACTACTTTTATTTTACTTTTATACACACTATTTGATAAGCAGCAGTTCAAACCGTAACATGCGATAGCAAATAGCCAAAGGGTTCCCCGTTGCTGCTTTCATATACGGGATAAGATACATATTGTATATTTTTTTATAAATCGCATGAAAGTTATTTACCGTCAAAAATCGAATTGACATATCATAAACACTGTGTACTTATTTTTTCCTGCTTATTTTCTGGTAGCCTAAGGGGTTATTCCAACTACGCGAGGACGGATAGGCAAGCTCATAGGCTCAGTGTGAGAGAATTTGCTAACATTAGCCCTAGCAAGAACAGTGCTCTGTCGTGCACTGAAAAGGCACGACGAAAGCAGCGTCTTGGCTCTGCCCCTGGCATTGCTAATACCACCACTCACCAACAGGTGGGCCGCATGCTCGTCTGCCTACAAGGGCAATAACAAAAAAAAAAAGATCCGACCAGAAACTCAATGGGCTGTGTCTGTATGTTACTATGTGTATACTATTATAATGACAATACATTATAGGGTTGTCAACTTCGTTTAAAAGTGAATCACAAAATCTTTCTTCAGAGTACTGACCCGTTTAGTATCAGCGAATACACGTCGCGCAAGCAGCTTGAGTGTCCAGCTTCGATCAAGTAAACTGGCTTGGGGCGTGACCAGTGACCAACTGACTTTACTCTTGCGATTGATCAGAGAACGATCTGTGGTCAAGGTGCAACCGCAAACCACCAAGATTATCAATATCAACCAACCGCCAGCGCGTAAGCTCAATAGTTTAATAATTACGTTTCGTGTACAATTACTGAGACTGATATTCGTTGCATAGTATTTAATAAAACAAATAGATTAGTTACAAGCGGCCCGCTCCACCTCCGCTCGGGTCTTTAACAAAAATTTCAACGATATTTGACGTTGTTTTATTTTTTTTAATAAAAGAACACTTATCGCGGCATAACTATAATAGTCAGACATATGCTGTCGCGACACTTTTTGTAAATGTGTAAATGTGTTCTATAAAGTCGTAGTACATTATTTTATTATATCATCAATAGTTTTCGCAGCGCACGCGATGTAAAGAATATTTTAGGTAATTTTTTTACACCTTGAGTTACTTTATTGGAGTGTTAATGCGGATCAGTATTTTTTTTTCAAAAAAAGTTATAGCTTATGTCACTCGGGAATAATGTAGCTTCCAAACAGTGAAAGAATTTTTCAAATCGGTTCAGTAGTTTCGGAGGCTATTCAATACAAACAAACAAACAAATCTTTCCTCTTTATAATATTAGTATAGAAGTATAGATATGAAATTAGAGTAAATACTCAATTGACTTAAATTTAATTTTATACTATTCGAAATCGATTGCTATAATAACAAATATTCTAAACGTTTTACTGAATTTATTACTTAGTATTCTGTTCAGTTAACAATAGGAAAATTGATGATATCTGAAGTTATAAAAAAGTAGTCATATATAAAAATATGAATGGTGAAATACTCCCAAGATTCCATTACTTACAAACAAATCTAACGAGCCAAAACACGCATGATAAAAATAGTTTTTTTTGGAATGAAGTTCCTTATGGGACGATGCGGAGGGGTACCCTAACCAGGAAAAAACGTCCGTAACGTAAGATTTTAGTAATGCACACAGTGTACGACTTAATTTTGTAATATCGTACAAAAACAACATATTCTTTTATCATTCAAATCACGATCTCAGAGCGTTCGTTTGCGCAATATACTAACTCTTATACAAACAACCGTGAATGAAGTGTACCACAATAAGTTCGCACGTTACCAAATGACCGTGGGTTGTTGCGAAACCTCCAGCTTTATTATCTTTATACCTCGAATAGAACTTAAAATTAATATTTTTATAATAAGGAACTTCGTTCCTATCTGTGTCCCACGACACCACACATCTTTTTTATATTACGTAATTAACTATTCCTAAGAATTGGTTATTGCAAATATTTATTTACAATACAGATTTAACGAGCTCAAGTTCATCTGAGCCGGCTCGTACCGAGAGCTGGTCGGAGTGGGCGTGGTCTTGGTTCCCTATGACATCTGATGCTGAGGGTGGAATAGAAGAAGAACGCATGCCTCCGGCACCTACACCTCTTCATTTTAACGCCTATTTCGATGACATATCCCTTGTTTTCAAGGTGAGTGGTGGTAGGGCGTACCATGAAGCAGCACGGGTAGGTACTACAGCTCTGCCGTGAAACAGTAATTCGTTTGGGCTTAAAGGGTGGGGAAGGTCACGTCCCTGCGGATCCACCAGATCCAACAACCTTTGCATTAGACGCCTTCAGCTCTAATACTAGAAGCAGGCTTAGGGACCCCGGTAACCGTACTCGTCGAACTCGACAAAGAGGTCGACGTGCAACCTAACCTATGCATCAGCCCGCTGATTTTCTCGCCGGATCTTCTCAGCGGGTCGCGATTCCGATCCGGTAGTAGATTCGTTCGCGAAGCAGTTGCTCTTGACTTGTTAGGTCTCCTTTGGAGGCGCTCTGGCAGCTGTTAGCAAATCCCAACCCTCTTGGTTGAGCCCTTTTTCGCCCACCTGTCCTGGTGAAACTGGAAAGGCCTCCGGGCCACCAGTAATACTTCAATCATAAAGAAGGGTGAGGAAGCCGTTGTACTATAAACTGAGTTTCAGAACTCTTGTCTCAAGTTAGATGGCGGCATTTACTTTGTTAATGTCTGTGGGCTCTGGTAACCTCACAACACAAGATAGGTCTTGCCCATCGTCTAAGCAATAAAAAAACGTGTATTTGAATGCTAACGTGAAGGGCTTCGTCATCGTGACCAGGCTATAGCAGTCCACAGCTGGACATAGGCCTCGCCAATTCCACGCTACTAACCACGATCCTCGGCTTCTCTCATCTAGCTCTTGCCAGGCACCCTGTACTCCTTTGAGCGTCCTGCAAACTACACTAAATTACTGTCTACCAAATCAAATGTCCAGTTTAATTGACCTGTTCCGCAAATCGATAACGAAAACTTTAAAATTAGTAGATTATTGTAAAATCGATTAGTGAAGCATAATAATTTATGTATTGAAATATAAATAACTATAAAGGAACCCTAAGAATATCCGTTTCGAATATCGATTAATGTTTTTGGCCTACATATAATTTAGTGTTCCGTGCATGTTATATGTATATTTTTATGAAACAGAAGTGATATAATGTAAAAAAAAAATAACAACACTCCTTCAAAGAGGATCTTAAGTAACAATCTTTAGCAATGAGATTTATTTACACTCAGTTCGTATGTTTTAAGTACGGCTTTATGACAATTAAATTAAAACTCAACGAACCAATCAAACAGTACGGTTACCAGAGTCCCTAAGCCTGCTCCTAGTGTTAGAGCTGAAGGCCTCTAATGCAAGAGATATTGGATCTGACAGATCCGTAAGAACGTGTCTAGGGCGATCGTGGCCAGGACGCTTTTCCGTACTGTTTTTATAGGCAGCGGCAACCTACCCACAAAATGTCAAAATAAGTTAAATATCTAACAATATATTATAATATTATTTGTTGTTCCATTCAGGTAATGGAATCGGAGTCAAGTACTCGTAAACGTTCACGTGGCGTGTTAGAGCTGTGCGCTTCACACGGCGCCATCAAGAGCTACGTTTGCAGACCGACTTCGTTCCGGATGCAAATGGCGACGCGCACGTTAACGATCAAATCGTCCGGAAGATGTGTCTGCGGACATCTCGATTACACTATGGTGAGTTTGTCGTTTTATTCGAATCAATTTAATTACTTTACTCATATACAATATTCAGGAATAATGGGTTAATGTAATTCTCTGTTTAACAGGAATAGATCACAAAATGTTAAACTTTGCATTACATCCGACGTCTTTATCTTATATTATATTTTATATAAGTAGTATATTAATTTACCTAAACCCGTTGAACATTTATAAAAAATGAAAACTAAGTCAACAATATCTTTTTAAATACTAAAATTCATTAAGCGAAACATACTTAAGAAACAAATATGGTAGATCTGTATTTACGAATACGGCTGTAATTTTAAAGAGATCAAATGTCTATAGGAATTATTGTGATGACAGTTTATGTACTAGTAAAAATTATGTGTTTTGGAACTATATAATTGTTTTGTAGACAGACATTAATAATGTAAAACCCGAGAATTGTAGTGTATTATTTCCTATAATAATAAACTTTAGGATAAAAATATATTTGTAAAGTGCATATTTTAAGAATAATCATAAAACCGTTGATGAAAATCCATAAACGCAAAGATTTTTTTTTGTTTTTCGAAATTTGTCGCAATTTTTTTCCTAAACGTAATTAAAAGAATTGTACAGCTTAGATTTCTATTGTCATTATTTAATTTTTGATTTCTCGAATAGGTACCTAGTATCAATAATGGCAATAAAAACGACTGATAATGGTAGTAAAAACGCGCTATTATACCGCAAAAGTAGTTTTAATTTTTGTCACGTTCTGTTTTCCATAACAACCTATCATCATCATCAGCCTTTAGCTGCCCACTGCTGGACATAGGCCTTCCCCAATGCCTTCCACAGAATGCGATCCTCTGCCCTTCGCATCCAACGACTTCCCGCCGTGCGCACTAAGTCAGTCCACCTGGTTGGAGGACGCCCCACGCTCCTGGTACCCATCCGTAGTTTCTCTTCGAGGACTTTCCTCCCCCACCTGTAACAACCCATAACAGACAAATATTAATATAAGAATTTAAGCTTGTTCTGAATCAAAAATCTTCCAGGGTAAAGACGAGCCTACCGTGTACCTGTGTAAATCGGAGAGCGAGCGCGTCGACAACTGGACCTGGCCCGCGAATGAATTCAGCGGAGGTCACGTGGAGACAGCGGAAGCAGCTCAGGAAACTCCTAAGGACGAGGTATGTATGTCCGTTTGTTATTATCATTACTCTAACGAATATGGAACGACATCTACAGCTTTCTAAGAGTTAGTTCGATTTTGTTTGATTGCTTAGTACTTGAAGAATGTACTTATTAATCATAAAAAAATGAATTTAATTGCAAAAAAAATAGCTCACTGATCTACCCACCTGAGTAATTATAAAACTACCGTCAAATATTCAATATGTTATAGATGATATTATTTATTTCCGCTGCAGAACCAAAATCCGGAACCGATTATAGACGAGTCGGATCAATCAGGACACTCCACGCCGGAGCCCAAAAATAACATCGACGAAGATGACAAACTGTGGGCACAGATGTCGCCACTGTTGTACGTTAATTACACTCATGAACGATCACCGCCCGACGTTTACGAAAACCCTTATGAACATCCGCCTGAAGATTTTCAATATAGGTTAGTCAGATTAAAATATAAAGTTTCGGGACTTTTTGGCGGGAACGCGAGGAGTGAAGTTGTGTGATTTGTTTTATTTTCTTTATTTAGTGTTTCTTCAGGTTTAAACGGTGGTTTATTAACTGTTTAGTATCTGTGAAAGTGCACAAATGTGGGAAAATCAAAGAAAGCCACTGAACGTAACTTCTCGGGATCCTCCAAAAAGGCCACTGAAAAAGTCTCAGTAAATGACCAACATTTTACTGAGATTATATTTCATACCATATCATCTCATTTCATTTCTATTCATGCCATGTTTTATATTAATCAACTTCATTTCATTACGCTTCAGCCTGTTTGTTTTGGATATGTCTTGTCAAACAAATATTCATGAACTTTTTCTTTAGTACTATAAACTTAGGTTTGTTTTTGGATTATATCGCCCTTTTTTAATTTTTTTTTAAACTTTTCTCATTTCTTTTTATCAAGTTTTCATTTTAAACATGTTTGCTATTATAATATGGGTACTTAGCCATGCGAATATTTCGATATGTTACTTAATGGATGGTACTTAAAATAAAATATTTATTTTTAAAGTGATTGGGCAGAAGAAAGCAACCTGAAAATCGAAATTGAATCTTTAGATATCAAACTCAGTACCGGATTGCTGCATAGACTTTCAGCCTTGAAGAACATTTACAAAGAGCTACCGCCAGTTCCCGACGTTGGTAAGTTTTTATTCACAATATGGAATATTAACATATTTACATAACATATTTACAATGCAATATGGAATATTAACATATTCCATATTGCATTGCTGCATTAACATGCAGCATCATAAACTATAGTTTTAATCGAAGGGTTGACTCATAAAAGTATGACATATATTAAATTTAAAAAGTAACTAGTTTGTTATTGGCAAAGAGTTTTTTTCTGTTGGCATTTACTTTATGGGACACCCTGTATATATTCTAAATTAAATAATTTAACGTTTGTTTGCTTGCTCGTTCTAGTTCTATGCGTTTGTGTCTTTTCTTCTGTTTGTTCTATCTAGTTTAAATACGCTGTTTGCCCTCTAGAGGAATGGATATGCATACCTTTAACGACAGTTTTAGCGGAACATTCCAGATTATTGAAGTCAATATCTTCGAAGCAATAATGCAATAAACCTCGTCGATTTATATACTATCACATTAATCTCATCCGGGTGATGGAAGGCCGGCTATCCTCGACCTACGCTGGCTCTGACCCAGCGGGGTGTTCCATAGGATAACCCATTGTAACCGGCGGCATCTAGGCGGGCTCCGGATAGCCTGCCGACCGAGAGGGGTGGTGGTCGTGGCGCCGACGACCGCCGGTCCATCGTCCCGAGGAGGAGGGAGAGATACTAAACGCTTCACTCTCCCCCCTTTGCCTTTTCATGAGTTCGGTCTCATGTGAGGTTCGGACGTGGGTTGGTGGGTTGTTGAGCGATAGGAGGTTTTAGTCAGTTCGACTCCGACATGTCCCGCCCTCCATCCCCCAGGGGAGGGCGGAAGTCCGGCGATTTCATTCTGACCAAAAAATAAACCACATTAATCTAACTAAAACTTTGGATTATGATAAATCAGTATTGTATATTTTTTTAATGAGTTAATTACTACATCGTTAACATATTGTCTTACAGAACTACCAATGCGCGTGCTGACAGTCGAAGAATGCGACGCTCTATTCGACAATCTACCCTTGCGGCGTTTGTCTGTTGAAATGAAAGGGCTCAACGTCCGCGTACACCCTTTCGATCACTCGGCACAGGACCGTACTCCGTCGCACCCGGTCGTTTTGGAAGTCTACATGCCGAGGGGCATCCTGATTGTCAGTGGACCTCTGTATCCTCATAGGTGGGTAGTTGGTTTATTTGATATAAACAAAATTGTCATTAAGTATGTTTTTCAAATGTTGATTTATAGTGTCAAGTGTTGATTTATAGTGACAAGCTTATAGTGACAATGATTTTTTTTTGAAAATAATTCAGTTATTCTAATACACGCTGATAATGTTAATATTCGAATTTGTTATCAAGAATGATTACAAGTATATACTTCTTATTACATTAGATAAAAAGTCTCCTCGTCAAATTAGTCGAACTAATTTTAATTTTAAAATTTGGAACAACATTTGTACAAGCCAGGATGTTTAAATTTTAAGTTCGTACTTCTGTGTTTAAAAATAAATTTCTCTATCGCGTGAAGTACTTAAGATAACTTTCTCTTTCTGTTATAGGTCAAAGATTACTTAATTGTAACAGAAAGTTTTTGTTATTTTTTCTCGTTCTGCTGTTATGTGTCTCTTTCTGTCTTTTGACAGAGTCTGTTCGGCGGCTTGTCAGATGCCGGATGACGCGGGACCGCTATGGCAAGGGGCACGTGTTCACGTGTCCGCCATTTTGTCCGGTATTGAGGCTAGCATTTGCTCCGTCGACGGGCAGACTCGGCCGTGCGCGAGAACCGATCTCCGCATAGTTGCGCACTCGCTTCAGTACAGAGAATTCTTCACGAAGCGGGAGAGCGTTGTCTTCAGTTATTCAATTAAGATGCGTAAGTAATTAGTAATGTCAGCTTAAAAATTAACTCGAATAATAAAAAAAACTTGAATTGTTCATCGTAGCTGTGGGGGTGTTAGGATCTTGTTTTTATTGAATAAATTTGTCACTTTTTTATTTTAAATTATTTTTATTTATAAATTATTATAAATTACAAAAACATTTCAATTATAAGCAGTATATATTATTATGTCAACTTTAATCATAATTTATTTATTTGTTACTTCGACAGTTGAATTAGGTAGTACAAGTCTCATTTGGTGTCGAGTGCTCACCAAGAACCCGTAGACATAATCGTAGACATCTATGCCGTCTTGAATAGAAGTCGCAATGGTATTCTGATGACCTTGAAATCGGAAAGCACGACCGCTTTACTTCACCTTCATAAACACATGCTAATCACATATTTAATTAGAATATGTCTGTCAGTTTTTTTTTATTATGTATTTATTGCTTAGATGGGTGGACGAGCTCACGGCCCACCTGATGTTAAGTGGTTACCGGAGCCCATAGACACAATGTAAATGTCGCCACCCACCTTGAGATATAAGTTCTAAGGTCTCAGTTTTTACACTGCCCTACCCTTCAAATCGAAACGCATTACTGCTTCACGGCAGAAATAGGCAAGGCGGCGGTACCTACCTATGCAGACTCACAAGACGTTCTACCACCAGTAAAAAATTTGAACACCGGCTTAAATTAAATAATCACCCAATTAAGTGACTAACCTAAACCAAGCGTCTATCTTTTTGCAACAGGTGAAGTGAACATATGCGGATCGGCCGCTCGGCTCCAAACGGCGTGGCTGATACCGATGTCGCTGATAAACGAAAAAATATCACTGCCCCTGCGACACACAACCTTACCCAAAGACGCACTCAACGACGAAGGTAAGTTTGGAATACGTACTCCTAGACACGACGGATATTCGATTCGTACTTAATCTATACTCTATACTAATATATAAATGTATAGTGGTTTTTACGGATACGGGGGAGACTTGACTACTTTGTTTATCTGAGCTTATTAATCATTAGATTAATACGTTAGATAAATAAATGAAAAGGCAAAAGGAGGTAACTAAGTGAATGCTGTTCAAAGTAGATGAATCGAACAGCGCTGATTTTGAGTCTCCCCCGTTCCACATACGAAGCGATTCTATTGGTACTAGAGGTCCCGCAATAGTCGAAATCCGACTATAATTAATTGGAATTGTAAGTTTGTACACTATTATGATTGTATTTTATACTTCTTTAATCACTAATTTCGCCAAGACTACACTATGAAAAATATTGACAAAGACAAACAATATTTAATCTCAATTTGACAAAAGACGTCAAGAACAAAAGTTTGACAATAAATAGTATGCATGCGTGTGTGCGTCAAGTTCATAGTATGTAGTGTGTGTAATGTTTTCTTTATCAATTTAATGTATCTGTTATGCATTATTTAAAAAAAATATTAGCATTGTGCACTTTTTCTCTATATTCTCTATAAGTGTGGGAAATTTCATACTCCTCCGTCTGCGCAATTTTCGTAAAAAGGGATACAAAGTTTTTGCTTCACCTATTAATATATAGATATGTATGTTTTCCTTTGGTTTTTGTATTAATCAAACAGACCGACTGGTTTTAAGTCCAGTCCGGATGTTCTGAACTCACTGGAGCCCTTAACAATTGATAATAATGTGACGACATTTTTCCCGTAAATTAATCGAATTTAAATTTAATTACTTAATTACACAAGATATATATTAATATATCTATGTGAAAGACAGTAAATGATTTTATTATTAAGTTCTATATTTATTTAAAATCTTATTAATTACATAATATTTTTTAAAAAAGATATTAACAATACAATTTTTAAAAAACACTATATAAAAATAGATTTCAGCCGATGGCCGTGTGTGTCTATGACACAAACCACCAATGGTTAGAACTTCAGAGTGAGAAACCTCCACACAATACGCGCAGTATGGAGGATTTATTATTATTATTATATGTAATCAACACGTCATACATATTTCAGAGTCAGTAGCATTGGACGTCACGCTGGAAGACCTCTGCGTCCGAGGCTACATCACGAAACACATCAACACTCACATATTGACGCTCCAATGTGCGCGCGCGACGGCCATGCACGAACCCAGTGAGTTTATATTATATGTTGGACGAGCTCACAGCCCACCTGGTGCCAAGTGGTTACTGGAGCCCAACTACATCGTAAACGCCGCTACCCACCTTGAGATATGAGTTCTAAGGTCTCAGTATAGTTACAACGGCTGCCCCACCCTTCAAACCGAAACGCATTACTGCTTCACGGCAGAAATAGGCAGGGTGGTGGTATTTAACCGTGCAGACTCACAAGATGCCTACCGCCACTAAGAGTAATTTAAAATCCAATGCTTCGGAATGTTTTTTTTTAAAAACAACTGAGCGTATTAACTACTCACGTGTTACGCATTTAACAGGCTATTTAATTTATCAAAGCAGCATAAGGTCGAATTTAAAAAGATCCCTTTTTTATGGATTCGTGTATAATTTTTGAGATTTCGACTATAACTTTGAACTCAGGAATGTTCAAAGAAATATTAACCTTATCACACAAATTAAACGGTTAAAGATCCAAACCCTCTTAACTGACCTAATCTTCTAATTTCCGAAATTTTATGAAAATATCATGTTTTTAGTGTAACAGACCCGTATAAGTTTTCAGATAAAAAAAAAAAACAATTGCAGCATTTCAAACCTTATGCTTACTGAATTATGACGTCACTATATATTGAACCCAACTAAAATGACGTTTATATTCATCTAAATCTAAACGTATTGGATTACAAATGGTCACCGGTTAATGGTTATAAATTTTACAGAAGACATTAATCCTGTGAAACAAGCCTGGTTGTTCTCCGGTCCGGACACTCCAACCACAACGTAAGTAACCTTTTCATTTATTGCTCCCCGAATATCTGTTCATTATATTTAATTAGTTATATTAATTGGAGGAGGTCTTCACACGAGGAGAGGTTCTCGCAAATAAGTAATATTTTAAATAATAATAATCATAATAAAGAATATAAAAAAATTATGGTTTATAAGAATTGTTAATTGTTGCTAGAAATAAAAAAGGCTTTTTTTATTTAGTTATTAATTATTTACTATAATAAAATTGTAAAATAAATAAGTAAATTTAAAGGTTTTTTTTAATACAAAAATCGCCCTTGTACAGACTTTATTCGTGTGTATTTTTTAAATCTACAAATTTAACGATAAAGTCGTAATAATACCAACTAGAATTAATTACAGTTTATATTATTAGTATACGTATATGTATATCACGCATATAAATAGGATATGAGAAAATTAGTATTAAAATGAATTAAAAAAAAATCGTTACAGACCATATCTTCGTGTAGCGGTACAATGGTGCTCGCAACCGATGCCGAATTCAATGGATTACATCGGAGTATGGATGGAACAGACGGCTATCTCTGTCGACCCGCTGTTCGTTGCATGGCTTGCTTATAGACCACGTCCGAGATTGTTTGGTGAGTACGCAATGAATGCTTGAAACATTTAAATTGATTTTGATGCGGTGAGTGTAAATTTTCTAACAGCACATATAGGCACATATTACGCTCTGGGGTTCGGGATAAATAAAAGATCTACCGAAGTACAAATTAAAACTGTATTAACACTAAGAACACTTAACGAACACTTTAAAATTGTCAACTTATTTCTTCCGCTTCGCTTCTGGTCATCCGTTCGCTGTTTCGCTTCGAGTAGATCCGCATAAAGACTGACTCCCTTCGTGTCATATCTGCAACGCTTTTATAGTTGATACGACATCCCTAGATTTATCTAGAACATTCCTCACAAGTCGAGTATTTTCGATATGCGTTTCCGCCATTTGACAATAGATGGCGTTGTACTTTTCGAGCGTTCTAGATTTTACTGGTTCTTAGTTCGGTTTCTGCTTTTCGACGATAGATGGTGTTGCTCTTAACTTAGTCTCTTACAATATCAACTTGAAGGTCTCCTCCGCTTTGAAACATGTTATTGAGGAGGCTAATGACTTATGATTGTATAACGGCTAATGGGTTGATACAGATCGCATTGATGCTTCACTGCAGAAGCACAGGATGGTATATAATAATATGTGGTACCTTAACCACTTAACACTTGGTGGGCAATGAGCTCACTGATAACACTTAATGGGCAATGAGCTCAATGAGTTCAGCTAAAGAAAATAATGCGATTTTTTTTTTATATCAGTGATATTAAAAAACATTTCCCAGGGACTGATATCCGAGACGTTGTTCTGAACAAGTTTCGCTGCGTTTCGAACCGCTTAAAAATGTACCTTAACGTTAAAACGAGGATTAAATAAGAAGTAATTTCCCTCTTTTATAAGCGTTTAAAATTCTATATCTTTATAATAAATGTTTGGTGACAACACCTATGAAATATTGTTTTTATTTTTATTGAATATAAATTATCTATAGCCAATATCTGAGCTGATGTTTTGTCGTTAGATACGCCATCGCACTCAAACTTATCAAAGAGCTCGTCCACGCAGTACTATTGGAAGCGTCGAGCAACACCACCGGTATGTATGTTTAAACATTATTTTTTTATTCGCTTGACCTGTAACTATATTATATATATATATATTTATGTAACGGAATATTTCAAAGTAATTTTTACAAAATGAATGAAAAACGAATTCCACAATGTATCAAGAGCTGATGACTTTACTATGGATCTATTACTTAAATCTACTACTTTATTTAATCAACTAATCAATATTTTAAAAAAAAAAGTTTTTTGTTTGTTTGCTACTAGAGAGTATCTTTTTAGTTTTTGAAATAGATATTTATTTAAAGTTAAGACTAGTGATTTGAAAGAAATATACAGTTGACATTGAGCGCAGATTTCCTCTCTGTTGTAAAACTCGACATTAAACTGATATAGATGTAGAGTGGTTTGTATCTATGACTGGAGAGCAATATTAATTTTGTTAAGACTAAATTAGTATACTTTTCGTTTTAATCAAAACTCTTATATTAGCAACTTCTTAACATATACATTACGTAAAATTCAGAAAACGTCAATCATGATTTTTAATGTTGTCGTAGTAGACAACACTAGCTTGGTGTTGCTTCACCAAACTGGTCAGTACACTTAGAAATGTACTTCTTTTCTTCTAGTCCTCAAGCGGTCGTGGAGTCAGCCGCTCCGGGTCTGGTGCTGAATTGGTTCACGTCCGCCCTCGCAGTATCGGATCGAGCAGCGAACCTAGCGAGAAGAAAGAGAAACAGCCTCCGTCTCCGGTGAGAACTAAATATATTCCGTCCAAATTCATTTCCAGATGAGGAAACCATACCTTATAATTATGATAAAATACAATAATTGAAAGTTTTTTCGATTTTTTTCGTTAATAATCGATATGGTTAAAATCCTTCCGTACGTCGTATAAATAGGTAATGAAATTGAATGATTATAAGTGACAAAAAAAGCGTTACATTTTCCATTCAAACATATATTCCATTCATATAACACTAAAATATCAATTTTTTTATTTTATTCAGTTGGTAAGTTTCGTGTATATTTTAGGATAATGTCTACATTACTTTTCTTTTAAACAATAAATTGAGTTTAGTCATTAATGTACGAATATTTAAAGTAATAAATATTAAAATATAATACCTTCCTGTTAATTTCTTAACGAATAATGTTGGTATAAATAAAACTTTGTACAATCATTTCATCGATTACCAGACTAGACCGCCCGTAGACTGGTTGAACGGTGAACGTCTCCTGGCCATCCACGATCGACTCCGCGGTATGCTGGTCAACGTGGAAGTAGGTCTGATGCTGATCTACGTGACCACCAGTACCGTCTCGGCCACCGACTGCTTCACCGTTCGTGACGCAATGGAGCGTCACGCTAGTATGGCTCAACCTGTTCTAGCTATCAGGTATTGATTAATTTAAAACGATATTTAAAAATAAATAACTTAAAACACCTTAATATATAAATCGCTGTCGCGGGTGTTTCGTATTTGCTTCAATAAAGTAATTCAGAACTTTGGATATTGGCGATGCCTTTTTTATTTGTCACTAGTGACCGGCCCTCGCTTCGCTTCGGAAACATTAAATTTTATTGTTGATAACTGAGTCCCGCGATGTCACCCGCTTTTATTGTCGTACTGCGGGGCAATGATAGGGCTAGGGCTAGTCTAAAAAAGTAGCCTATCCTTTCCTTATATCATCAGCTACCAGCTATCAGTGAAAGTTCGTCAAAATCGATCCAGCCGTTCTAGAGATTAGTCGGAACAAACAGATAGACAGACAAAAATTGTAACAAATGTTATTTTGGTGTATATATGTCATGGTAAATGTACACTCTTGGGAAATTTACACTTTTACTATTCAACTATTCAAAGTATTTTCTTTTTTATTACTTAGATGGGTGGACGAGCTACATCCCATCTGGTGTTAAGTGGTTACTGGAGCCCATAGACATCTACAACGTAAATGCGCCACCCACCCTGAGATATAAGTTCTAAGATCTCAAGTATAGTTACAACGGCTGCCCCACCCTTCAATACAAATTTATATTCAATACTATTTTCTTATTAAAACATGCATCGCGAGCCTCATGGAATGAGCCTGCGGCTCGCGGGCCGTTGTCTGGACAGCCCTAGTTTAGATAAAACAAATAAAGGATAGAACTGTTTTAAAATTGAATCTCGTTCGTAGTGCCGGACGATTCTTGATATACTCGAGTCTAAACACGAAGCAGCTGTGGCACGAGATACGACACGACGGACCGACGTTCGTCGCGCCCAGAACGGAGCGTAAGTACCGGACTACACCGCAGTCTACCAAAAACAATTCAACCTTCATCATACACGACATTAACTAAACACATTTAAGATCCAATGCTAATCGTAATAGTAAATTAGGTAATTTTCAATAACATTACTGTAATGAAACTTTTTCCTACCAATACGCACTAGAAATAAAAAATGCTACTAAAAGTACTAGTATTTCCAGTACTAAAAAGAAGTGGAAAGGTTTTGTACTGTCTACAAAACAGTATCACAGAAAACGGTCTTCTAACAACTGTGGCGTTATCTTTTTATACCGCACTAGCTGACCCGGCAGACTTCGTAGTGCCTCAATCTATCAAATCAAATCAAATCAAAAATTTTTTTTATTCAACATAAATGAAAGTACATACTTGTTGAACGTTAAAAAAAAAAACTACCGCCAATTCACAAGAACTAGCCTCCGTCCTGAGAAGAATTGGCAAGAAACTCAGCGGGCATGTCTTTTTTTTTTACATATGAAATTATTATTTATTTATTTTTTAATATTAGATTTTTTTTTAAAATATGAATTTTTTACAATGAGTAATATAACGTAACAATTACTACAATATTGAAATGCCTGGAGCGAGCAACTCATTCCCACTTTGTGCAATCTTCTAGATAATCATTGACTTTATAATAAGCTTTATTGCACAGATGTTCTTTAATAGTTTTCTTAAACCTATGTATATGTAGGTTCTGAACATCTTGTGGGATTTTGTTGTACAGGCGCACAGACAAACACCCGAATGAATTTCGTATCTTATGTAACCTACTCATCGGCACAACAAGCTTGTGATAAATAAAAGACCTAAACTTTTGTATAAAGTAAACTTAAAACAAACAAAAGGAATTCGTCCGACGGGGGACACATCAAAAGAAAAACAAAATTGTTATTTTTATTTAATTTCGAGTTTTTCATTTTTATCTACCTTTTAAACCTTCTCTAGACTTCCACAAATAATTCAAGACCAAAATTAGCCAAATCGGTCAAGCCGTTCTTGAGTTTTAGCGAGACTAGCGAACAGCAATTCATTTATATATATATATATACAAATACAATAATTATTATTGTACACATAAATATACTGTTGCGTCACTCATCTAAAATAAATACATATTAGATTCGCGTGTCTTGTCAGCATTATACATGGGAAACGGTTCTCGGTATCAAACTGAATGTCATCATACCTCAACAGAAAAAGATCTGAACTCGTTTCCATGGAAGCTGCGCCTGTCCGACGTCTCCTGCTACACTCTAGAAGTTAAAGCTTCAAGCTCGAACAAGGACAAGGTCCATCGATCGCAGCTGAAGTCGGAGGTGTACGCCACGCCGAGGACGGTGTTGGAAATGGTCACGACTACGATCACGCTCTCAGTAGTCACGAAGTCGTTGCAGCAAAAAGCAGCTGCTTCTACTTCTACTAAGAAAGACCATAAGAAGCATCCGGAAGCTAGTGCTGAAGAGGAAGTGAGTTTTATTGTTATCACTATTATTTTTTCCTTATATTTTTTTTGTCCTCTCTAAAAATTCGAGGTTATATTTCTACTAATTTGTCAAAATGTATATTTTAAAATAGTTATATACTAAAAAAAGAAACGTTTTAATAGTAAGCCGAATTAAAATTTGAAACAATCAAATATTTTTATCTTAGTGATCGTAGTTACGATAATAGATCGAACTAATAAAATTATTGTTTTGTCATCGGTTCTTGATACGTGTGCATATTTCCGAGATATTGGAACTTTTGAAAGCTACTGAAAATTACATGAAAGATTCCGTTTCATAGATATTTTATATAACATACATGTTTTATACATAGGATAATAAAGCCGTGTTTAGTAATCAATATAATTGTTACAGACAGTCAAATACTTCATGACTGGAATGGATTTCAAACCATCCACATTGAAAGAATTCGTGCGAGGACCTACCAGGTATATACGTATTTATTTTTATATAGAACCCGGTGCTACACTGATAATAGTATTTTAACTCTTCGAGCTCAGTGGAATCGTTGATATGTCAAACTTTTATTAATTACTAGTGGTCGCACAGTAGTTGAAATTCGACCATAATTAATTGAAGTTATAAATTTGAACATTATTACGGTTCCAATGGTTAATACTATATTTCTATAATCACACATTTTGCCAAGACTACACTATAGACAAATAATATTAAAGACAAACAATATTAACCTATTCTCACATACCACAGGTTTGACCACAGACTTTAAGCAATAACAAAAGGTTGACAATAAACAAAACAGCATAAATGCGTGTGTGTGTGTCAAATACGTAGTAGCGTGTGTAATGTTTTTTTTATTGATATAATTTATTTTTTTGCATAATTAACAAAAACATTTATCATTCTATACTCCTCTATATCCTCTACCAGCGGCCCGCTCCGGCTCCGCTCGGGTCTTTAACAAAAATTCAACGATATTTGACTTGGTTTTATTTTTTAAAATAAAAGAATTATTGCAGCATAACTACAATAGTTAGACATATGTTGTCGCGACACTTTTTGCAATTCATAATGTGTTCTACAATGTCGTAGTATATTATATTATTCTGTCATCAATAGTTTTCGAAGGGCACGCGATGTAAAGAATATTTATAGGTAATTTTTACACCTTAGGTTACATTATTGGAGTTTAAGTAAAGATCCCTAAATTTTTGCAAAAAATATTATAGCCTATGTCACTCGGTAATAGTGTAAAGTGACAAGTGAAAGAGTGAAATAATTTTTCAAATCGGTTCAGTAGCTAAGGAGCCTATTCAATACAAACAAACAAACAAAACTTTCCTCTTTATAATATTAGTATAGATAAATGTGTGACATTTTATACGCCTCCGTCCGCGTAATTTTATTAAGAAGGGGTACGAAGTTGTTGCTTCACGCATTAATATATAGATACTAGATAGTGATAGAGATAGTATACTAATAATTTTATTCAATATAAAATTGTAGTACCACTGTAATAATAATATTGTTTCAGACGTAAGAAGACCAATCACGAGGTGAGTTTCAATGTACAATATCAAACAAAAAATACAATAACAATAACAATTAAATAATAATTGTATAAATTAATGATATAAATTATAAATAATCGACTTTTTTTCGTGCTAAATTATTATTATTATTATTATTTTTTAATTTGATAACAAATTGATCTGTAATGAATGCGAAAAAAGAATGCTTTAGTCAATTTTTGATAGTTAAATACGTGTTTATGTTTTTTAAATTAAACTGGGAAAAATCAAACACGGTTATCCGGTCCCAAATTAGGATTCCCTGTATTATTACTTGTATCTGTATTATTACTGTATTATACTAGAATCCGACATATATACTTATATAAGTTTAAATATGTACATATATAGATAATAAACACCCAAACGAATATAATTCAAACCTGTTGTTCACACAATGCTTGCCCGACGTGGGAATCGAACCCACGATCCTTGGCGCAACAGCCGAGAGTGTTAAATATTGCACAATCGAGTCAGTCAAGTTTATTATTAACTTAACGTTTGTATGCAGCAAGCGGAGCAGTCTCCGGAGAGGACGGCGCCTCCGAACTTGACCACCGGGCCGGTCGTGTCCCTCGGAGTGCATCTACACGCGGACACCCCGCCCATCATCATCAGGCTCGATCACGATCAGGTGGAGCACTTCGTTCTGTTAAATCCTTTTAGTATAGAACTCACCGTGGCCTAAAGGATTAGACGGTCGTATCGAGTGATGCGACTGTGGCACTCGCTCTGGAGTTCGCGCGTTAGCTGGGCGCAACAAGGCGTCCCTAGAATCTCGACTCGTGCGCATTACGCTCGAATCACGCGCGAGTCGAGAGTCTGGCGTAGTGCACGCGATTTACGCGCGTATTTTGAATTCGCGCGATGCTTCTGGACGCGATGTATTGGGGCATAGTATCTCACTGACGCGCGAATGAATTCGCGGCGAATTCGCACTTTCTGGACCAGGCCTTACACGCGACAGATTCGTGACCTTCGTCTAACCATGTAGTAATTTTAATATTATGAACAGACACTTCAATTTTATTTATATGTATAGATATACATACATCTATATACATATAGCAAAGGCTTCGTTCGATTTAAGTATGATTAACAACACAATATTAATGTTGAATCAGGTACATACAATATCGGCGACGCTACACAACTTCAAGCACATTTTGAATCTGATGCGGCGAAGTTCAGACGCCGGACCGAGACAGTCTTTCACGCCACCAGACGGTTCTCACAAATCGTTGATAAGGTAAACTGAAATGAATTAATTCGGATAAATGGGACGCGAGACTAGAATAACAAATGTCTTGAGATGAGCGAAGCGCTCGGTGGAAGATCTTGCCTTTGTGATATACCTCTAAACTGTCGTTCTATATATGATCACGTCATTGGTCCAGTTAGCCAGTCACATTGTTTTCTGTACCATCGAGTTTAGTTTCGATAACCACGTTTTGACGATCACCCTTTGTCTATTCGACATAATTGCCAAAAATCTATGCTTAAGGACATTGGATATAAAAGCTGAAAATTACGATGTTGCACGTGTAATGAGTTACTGTCACGGCTCTGACCTGTGTGGTTCTACCTAATAAAAGAAAATAGATTTTTAAATGTGAATCCCAAACAGTCTCTCGTTAAAACGTGTTTGGAATCTAAAAAGACGTATAAAGATATAAATGATGGGTAGACGATGATAAGTCAGTTCCCCCTTGACGTGAAGATGACGGATGATGAAACAACTACTGGTTGTTATTGTTTTTAGATCCATGTCAGAAATAGAAGAAGGACGGAGCCCTTCAGACGAAACTACAAGCGAGAATAGATCAGACCTTATTTCAATATTCGAATCGCATTCAGCACAAGACCGTAAGTACAAAAACTATGAAAATCGTTTTTTATTTATTATTAAATTATATATTCCAAGATACCTTTACGTTTATTTAACACAGTTATAATTTGCGCAGTTACTGGTGGCAGGACCTCTTGTGAGTCCGTGCGGGTAGGTACCACCACCACTCTGCCTATTTCTGCCGTGAAACAGTGATGCGTTCGGTTTGAAGAGTGGGGCAGCCATTGTAACCATACTTCAGACCTTAGAACTTATATCTCAAGGTGCGTGGCGTATTTACTTTGTAGATGTCTATGGGCCTAACTACCTCCCACCATGTGGGCTGTGAGCTCGTCCATCCATCTTAGCAAAAAAAAAAGTTAAGGTAAAATAATTATTAACTAAGTTTTAAAGTTCCAAAATAATTTTTAAATTTCGTTGTTTTATTTGGTCATGGAATACATCCTATTAGTTTGTCGTTGTCCTATCTGTTTCCATCACAAAACAATATTTTACAATTTGAAGGGTAATAATGATTTTAATTTCAATAAATGTAAGATTTCGATTGGCGGGATGTTAGAATTCGACGTTCGTCTATACAATTAAGAGAATATAAAACATAAGTTATTTTATGACTAGAATTTACGTAAATAAGGCTGAAATAATACTTTGGACCGTTGGAGATATGTGAATACATTTCTCAAAGTATAAAGTATACAGACGCTTTGCATAAACTTTTTTTTTTCAGTTACATCGAAACTGAAGACGTTCTTCTGGTTCCAGTGGGTTGTAAGTCGAGCGACCCTTGTAATAGCTGCCAATCATGCCAAATTAGCATTCGACATCGATGATATTATATCGACCATTGACATGCAGTCCCATTATAATCAACTACGAATCAAATTGGCCTCAGCCTCTGTGAGGCAATATGAACGGTACGTATTCGTTTTTTCTCTTTTTCTTGTTTACATAAATCTAAAGAAAATACAGTTGCTAACAATAACAATTGTAACAACAACAAATACTTGGCTAGCTTAAATCGATGTTATTGTAAAATGACGTATACAATTTAAAATAATATATATCCATTGAAGTTTTGGTGTAAAATTTGTGTCGCACTCTTGAGTGTTGACGTCATTGTACAAAAAATGATTTGTCCTTCCGGCATGCAATTAAAAGTACTTTAAAAATATTTCTTTCATTGATATCCATCTATCCTTCGTCTGTTATTTTATTCTTATTTGATTTAGGTTTTATTTGTTTACATTATACTATTTTAATTTAATATGAAAAAACAACAACATATTTACATTTTTCTTAATATTGCATCATAAACCTTATTGGCTTATTGAACTCGAACGACATCGCCAATTTCATTTGACAAGAAGTAAGACTTGAGAAAAAAGAAACAAAATAAAAGTTATTATAATTTTTTTGTTTTTATTTATTGCTTTTAGGCGAGCTCACAGCCCACCTGGTGTTAAGTGGTTACTGAAGCCCATAGACATCTACAACGTAAATGTGCCACCAACCTTGAGATATAATAAGTTCTAAGGTCTCAGTATGATTACAACGGCTGCCCCGCCCTTCAAGCCGAAACGCATTACTGCTTGACGGCAGAAATAGGCGGGGTGGTGGTACCTACCCGCGCGGAGACACAATAGGTCCTACCACCAGTAAAAATTATTATATTTGAATTAAATACATAATAATTTTGTTTATTAAATTGAACTATTTTTTTATATAGAGTGGGTAGTGACGAGTGGACAGCCGGCGTTCTGGGAGGCAGGGTGCTCGAAGCCCGCGAACCAAGCAATGCCAAAGAGGACAATCATTTCCTATCAATAACTGTCACACAAGCGCAGTAAGTAAAAAAAATCTGTTGATCAGCCAGCCGCGTAGATGTTCATCTTGGAATAAGCAAATAAATATAGGAACCTACGTATAAGATCGTGTATTTGTAAATATTCATTAGTATGTGGCGACTCACTTATCCGCCACTACATTGAAACATACCACTACTTGGGCAACCGCCTTACAATTTCGACAAAATCGCTGTCACTTGTGTATTGAAGTCATCATCCGTTATTGTTGTTAAAACACGTTCGGAGATACTTTGGTAGTGCATCGACAATCTTGGAAACTCCGGCAGTACACTTTCGATACGTCTGCCGTGCTGTGCGCTATTGTTCACTTACCTTTATTAATATAATCTAGTAAATCTATTAATATAATCTAGTAAAGTTAATATTGGACCTATATTGTACCTTAATCCTACCTTATATACAATATACGTTAAATAAACGACATAACAATATACATTCTCCCTGTGTTATCTATTCTTTGTGTCAGTGCCTAAACAAAGTTAGTTGAAGCAGCTTAACTACTACTGCTCTTACAAGTATTATACATATTTTGACTGATGATTCCTTTGCAGAATATCAAATCTACCTTCCAGCTGGAGAGAAGAACTTCATCCGAAATTACTCGAAAACAAAACAGTTAGTAGTGTTTTTTTTTTACTCTGTGAATTAGTATGGCATTTTATATTTAATCACTAAAAATAGCTATTTAACAATCAATAATATAATTTTATGTACTAGCCGTACTCGCCCGCTTCGCTGGGCATTTAAAATTAACATTATTATTTATTGTCATTATAATTAAAGAGCCTAACACTCATATAAATATTAGCCTAATCATTAAGTACATGTGTTTTCTACATGGATACCAAGTTTCAAGTCAATCGGATGCATTGTTCAGTAGTTATAACGGAACATCCGTAAAAACACTGTAGATTTATATATTAGTATATATACTGTAGAAATTAATGTTGTTGTGTTGTGTGTCCAGAGCACGGACACGATGTGGGAACTGTACGCGACCCTGGCGCCCTTAGAAGTGGTTCTGCAACCGACCGTCGTGGATCACATCATAGCCCTCGTGCACGAGATGGCGTCTCGATCGTTCTGTCCCCAACAGAATCAACCCGAGGCCAGGTTCGCATACTATTTACTGTGTTCTTTTTCGTATACGGCATTTGACATTTTTGGAGAATTAAATATATTTTGATAAAAATGGAACTTAGGAAATATTACTCTACCCACCATATGTAAAAAGGTTTTTTAAGCTTTACAAATCGGTGTAGATTAATTAATGTTTCTTAAAAAGTTTTGGATCATTTTCTACGAAACTCATACGCACGCGAGTATTTTATATAGAATTCACTAGTATTCACTAGTAATAAAAACATATTGTTTCTTATTTTAACAGCGCTCCTACCGTGTGGCAGTGGCCGTTCTGCTACATAACCGCTGGTGGATTGAGGCTTTTGCTGACTTGTGACGAAGAGGACACGGGACTCGATGACACATTTATGTTTGTTGTGAGTGTAAATATATATATAATAAATAATTTCCTGGAACCGTTCTCGTCGAATCCGTCGCTTGCGACGAAGGGGTCGACGAGTGAACTAATCCACAGACACAGCCCACTGAGTTTCTCGCCGGATCTTCGGAAAGGAATTTTATGATTGAGTCGATGTTAAATATGATCCAAACAAATAGTGAAGCATAAAATCGTTATATTGATGATAGCGTTTAATCAATAATATAAAAAAAGTATTTAAAACGCATTTGCAATTTACTAGTGGTAAGACGTATTTTGAGTTTGCCCGGTTAAATACCACCACCCTAACTATTTCTGCCGTGAAGCAGTAATGCGTTTCGATTTGAAGGGTGGGGCAGCCGTTGTAACTATACTGAGACCTTAGAACTTATATCTCAAGGTGGGTAGCGCGTTTACGTTGTAGATGTCTATGGGCTCCGGTAACCACTTAACACTAGGTGGGCTGTGAGCTCGTCCACCCACATGAGTAACAAATAAAAAAGGCGACTTATACGATAGCTGGGTTATTAACGAATATTCTTGTTAGATTCATTAAATGATGTTTGCATACGTAACTGTTTTAAAGACTAACGTGTAATCCATTTGAATTATTTTCATTTATTAAAATAAACTACACGGTCTGACTCTGTATAACTTACAGTTTTTAAATTTTTATCATCTTTTACATTTTACTTTCAGATCGGAAAGATTTCGGTCAATCCACATCCCGAGAATCCTATTTGCAGGTATTGTCATGTATAATAAACACTATTTTATAACTCTCTCTCTCTCTCTTCCCAGCTATTGATAACTATAAGTTGAAATATAAATGATCGCTTCACATTTACACCTTAGTGTTGTGTGTTAATGTGTGGTGTTTCAAATAAACTGTGCCGCTTCCGATCAGCCACTGACAGAATTTTGTACATTATGGATTATCGGCCTGTTTGTATGGCCTTATAAGTAGCTGCAAGCTTCATCGACCTACAATTGAGTGCTTACAATAACGTATGCAGTTGCTAAAATTATTCCTATAACAGTTACCGGTGCCCATATACATCTACAACGTAAATGCCGCCACCCACCTATTACATGAGTTGTAAGGTCTCAGTTTTAACAGTACATCGGCTGCCTCGCCCTTCAAACCGAAACGAATTACTGTTTCACAGCAGAAGTAGGCAGAGTGGTGGTACCTACCCGTGTGGACTCGCAAGACGTCTTACCATCAGTAATGACGCAAATTATAATTTTGCGGCTTTGATTTTTATTACACGATGTTATTCCCTCACCGTGGAAATCAATCGTTACCATTTGTTAAGTACGTATTTGATTGGAAAAAATTGGTTCCCGTTGGCGGGATTCGAACACCGATACATCGCTGCATACGAATGCATCCGACGTCTTATCTTTTAGGCCACGTTTTGCTGTCACGCTACGTAGGGGCTAGTTCTTAATTTTGTATTTTTTCGTGAATAAATTCTCGATACACATTTGCACAAAGGTGTGTGAGTAAGTAAACGGTGTATGAGCAGGCGCGCGATCAACTCGACCTCGGACTCCGGTTGGGCGAACAACAGCGAGTACGAAGGTCGGCAGTACGAGGTCATAATCAAGAATGTTGCCATAAGATCGGCGCAGTTTAGGCAAATTGTCAACCAGGAGGTAAGGAAACCTCCTAAATGCGCCTTCGGCTTACTAGTCCGGAGAGAGCTTTCTTATGTCATTATCGAGTCTGATCTCGTATCAATCGTTTTAAACAATTTATCTTTGAAAGGTGAGCGAAGCGGAGATCCTTAAGGGAACAGGTGGTGAAAATCCAGCCTTGAAATGGAGTCAACCCACTGTCGCTCCTGTTGTAACACCAATACTTCACGCGTAAGTATCGCTTAATATTATAACCCACTGAGGTTCTCGCCGGATCTTGTCAGTGAGTCGCGATTCCGATCCGATGTTAGATTCTGCGAAGCTCTGCTCTTAATAGTATTTGGAATAGCCCGTTAAACTACCAAAGATTAAGTGGGGAAAAAAGCTGAATGTTTGACTTATTAATAACGAAATCGATACTAGTAATGCCATCATAAACAATATATACAATTCATATTGATCATATATAGTCTGACCAAACTAACTCTACTTATCGATTATCTCACAGTGCATCTCTAATACCAAAATCGAATTTTTGGTATTAATTTGCATAATTTTTAACAAGTTATGCCTTAAATTAACAATGTAATTAACGCCCAGTAAATTTAAATAATAATTTGACTGTGTACATGGCTTTACCTATGACCTTGGCACTCTTAATGCACCAGTTTTAATGTCGAAGAATCTAGAGGGCTCTAGGGTAATGATTGCGCACGGGCGTTGCACCAGCTAGTGATGCCTTTGACGGTCTAGATTAGAACGTTCTGAACGACTTCAAAGCGACGAGTATGGAAATATTTATTTTGTAATGATTAATAAGGACGACGTCGTAGTGGTAGAGCGTCTAGTGAAAAATACGGGTTCGCACCACAATCCTGCTTATTTCTATATTGAAACGGAAATACGTTCGGGTTTTAAGGATGCGACAACCCTATACCATTGAGATTTAGTCGTCACGTCTGAAGATAGATGGCGTTCATGTTATGTTGGCTCATGTAACCACCCGTTCACTTGGAACAATGGTAATGTTACGCGCTGTAGTTCGAGATAAATAAAACTTTCACCGAAGTACAAATTAAAACTCTATTTAACACTTAAAACACTTACAACACCTTATAATTCGTAATTCGCTTCTTTCGCGTCGCTTCAGGTGATCCGTTCGCTGTTTCGCTTCGAGTAGAGCCTATTACTAACTGATTTCGTGTCCTTTCTGCAAAGATTTTATAGTCGATACGACATCTCTACAATTTTCGAAAAAATTCCTGACAGATCGAGTAGTTTCGATATTTGCTTCCGCTATCATAGATGGCGTTGTACTTATCGAGCGCTCACGTCTTTTCATATTCCTTTCTGCTATTCGTCGATAGATGGCATTACTCTTACCGGCGTAACAATAAGAATTTTATATTGTAACGCAGACTCGACATCGGTTGCGTGCTAGCTCCGGCTCTGTACAATTCCGGCACTCTGGTCTGCGGTCCGGCTGTCGAGGTGAACTTAGTATCGGATTGCGCAATAGAGTTGAGCATTGACCAACTGGACTTATTGCGGCGCTTGATCGAAGACATACGTGATTCTATTCAAGAGAGGTGAGTTACAGATTTCTGTAGTTTGAAAAATTCCGATTAAAATCTAAGTACCTTTTTTTAAGGGATTTTATGACCTGGTAACTAAGACCTTTAGGTCAAGTCTTATTTTAATTTATATTCTTATTTTTATGAAAAATTATAATATGGAGTGAAATGAAATGAAATGAAGATGATTAATTTGAGACATTAATCAACTGGGATGAAATTAAATGAAATGAGATGAGATGATATGGGATGAAATATAATCTCAGTAAAATGGTGGTCATTTACTGAAAAATTTTCTGTGAACTTTTTGGTAGATCCCGAGAAGGTACGTCCGGCGGCTTTGTTTCCTTTTCCCACATTTGTGCACTTTCACAGATATTAAACAGTTAATAAACCATCGTTATATAGCATTTAAACCTGAAGAAACTCTAAATAGACAAAATAAAACAAATCACACAACTTCACTCCTAGCGTTCTGCCGAAAAGTGTTTTTGAGTACAGATTAGTTTCAAAGAACAGCTTAGTATCGATATAGATTATCCTTAATATTGTGCACTAAATTGACTATTTGCCACTTAATGAATTCACATTGCAATCTTAACTAAGTATATTCTTACAAAAAAAAAAAACAGAAAGCAACAGTCGTCGTGCTAATGACAGATGAGTTCTGATGACAATATAACAAATAATATAAAAATAAGCAGACCGCAATTAATATTTTAATGAAATTAATAAATTGATTTTCAGTAACGAATTATCGTTGCAATTAAACGAAATGAAAGATCACGTATGTCCGTATGCGACAGTCTTAGAGAGCGAACCGCAAGATTTGAACGCCACGTCCAGTGACACGAGTTTTAATGAAGGTATGGAATACCTGACACTGATCGCATGCTTTAATTTTAAGCTTATGATATCGAAGAACCGGAAGAACCTTATAGTATTCTATCTTTAATTTGTAAAACATACAAAATCATTTTTAAATATTCTTTTTTTGATTCTATTGTCCTTGTAGGCAGACGAGCATACGGCCTACCTGATGGTGAGTGGTTACCGTCGCCCATGGACCTCAACAATGCAGGGGCAGGCCAAGCTCAGTGAGCTCACGGGGCTCAAACCTGACGGCGTTGCTAGCGCTGGCCCTAGTAAGAGCAGTGCTTCGCAGAATCTACCACCGAATCGGAAACGCGACCCACTGAGTACATCCGACGAGAAATTCAGCGGGCTGTGTCTGTGGGTTAATTTACGTAAGCGACGGGTTCGACGACAACAATGAGAAATTATTATTACTTTTGTTATGTCAAAAGTATTAGCACAACAACATTAACATAATATTTACATAGATTATTATTTTTTTAAGATTCTATGGCCCGGTAACGAGTCTTTTAAGCCAAGTGTTATTTTCTGTTGTGATGCGAAAAATGTACATATTCATGTCTTATAGATATAATGAAATATCAAGAGTTCGCGAAGGCCGCCGCGGCGGACTCCGGCGTGGAGACGACATCGCATTCCACCTTCAAATCCGGCAGGTTGGTTGAGGAGCCGACCGTCATACCAAAGAAGTCCGTATCCGTAGGTTTTGCTGAGCAGATGTGAGTTTACATGCAGCTACGTGTATTGATACATTCGTGATAATCAAAGACATTTTCGCTCAAAACTCATTTGTCTTCATTAACATTACATTTGCACTGTCGTCCGCATTAGATTGAAAGTATTAACAGAAGCACTGAAGAATCTCACCCAATTGCTTGAGCCATCAAGTTAGTATGAACTCTCTGCATTTACCAAGAAAATCTTAAGGTAAAACAATTTCAGGCTGCACGGTTTTGACCTTGATAATACCCTTAACTATGACAACTGCTCACTAAATACATGCTCATCTTCCATTTTTTGTGCAAACAAACGTATTCATAGGTGACTCACTTAATCTTTAAATTAACCTTAAAATCAAGAAACGCATGGCGAAAAAACGCAAATAGATATTCTATAAGAATAAATTAAAATGGAAGTTTGTTTTAAAATGATTGTGTTTATTTCAGAACGGACGCTTCGGACTTCCTCGAAGTGTACGTCACTATGGGCATAATAGAGCTGTCTCTTTACACGAAAGATAACTCCAGCCCGGAGGTCGTGGCGCTTCGTCCTCCCGTAGTCGAGAGAGTTGTAGAGCCCGTCCCACTCTTGGAGGTATATTACAAATCAATCAGCTTTGGACTATATGAATTTTACAGCAAATTTAAAAGAATCATTACGCGTTCTAAAGGTGATTTTTAATCGATTATAAATAGTACCTGTCAATCTTGCTGGTAAATTTGAAAGAAAAGAGACTTGCAAAGTTATCACACATAGTTGAGTGTATTAGTGCTAAATTGCTCTGGATAGGTTAACAAGCTCTCGCCCCATGTGGTACAAAGCGGTTCTCGAATAAATATTGCAATGTGTATGCCGCTGCTTTTAAGACATGAGGTATAGAGCTACCCATCTTTTAAACCAGAATACTAACTGCTTTATTAAATTACTCATACCTACATATTATGAAACTTTGCTTACTTCCTCCTAAATGGTTTATCAAACCAAAATTATTTTCTAATTAATATTTCGTCAATTTATTCAGGTGATCATACATAATTCTCAAGAATCATCAAAACGCGACGAAGACGAGTCACCGGTGGCCAGCAAAAGCAACCCGGAGTCCGTGCCGAATATCGACGTCGGCACGCCCAAGCCGGAACACAATGTACGTTAACCTTCAATAATTATGGTACAATGATGTATATTAAAAAAATGGTGCTCATGTAACTTGTTACACATGAAAGAAGTGCAACTTCTTTTGCGGTGTATAGTATTGTGGTTTTCTTCATTTTTTCCGATTTCATAGAACTGCACAAAGCGGAGACGGAGAATAGGGAATGCTGTGTATAAGATAAACGACCTAGCTAGTTTTGTCCTTTTCCTCTCTCCACGGTCGAGTCGTTCACGAGACTCTCTATTCATTTTCTCTCTCCCTCTCTTCCTAAATTGTATATTTTCTCTCCAGCCATAACGAATCTGTCGCGAGTTAAATTTGACTCTAAACGTGCTTAAAGTAGTTTTACTTCAAATATCTGATTTAAATTGGAAATGCATACGTTTCTGATGTATCAGTTAAATTTCCGCACCATTACGTACAATATCGATTGTTTACAGGAAACTCTGCCATTAGCGAGGAAGTCCGAAGGGAATCTGCCTTTAATCCATTTGACGTTGCAACAACCTAATCTGTATTATTGGAGGAAGAAGACACAACGAAGCTTGCAGGTAGTCTTTTTATTGGTGGTAGGACCTCTTGTGAATCCGCGCGGGTAGGTACCACCACCCTGCCTATTTTTGCCATGAAGCAGTAATGCGTTTCGGTTTGAAGTGTGGGGCAGCCATTGTAACTATACTTGAAACCTTAAAACTTATATCTCAAGATGGGCAATTAAGCATCTACGTTATAGATGTCTATGGGCTGCAGTAACCACCTAACACTATGTGAGCTGCGAGCTCGTCCACCCCTCTAAGCGATAAAAAAAGTTTGTCTTTGTACGGTAGTCCACAGTTGGCGCTGATTGATCGAACCATGCAGTTGTTACAATGACTTTTCAGAACAGAACCCATCTGCTTAAATTTGTTGTAAATACGACAGTCTTATGTCGGAAACGTTTCCAGGTATCCCTCTTCGACTTGTGGTTGGGACTCGGCGTGGGCAAGAATGACAGTCATTGGAGTTTAGTCCTTCTGTCAACTGCAAAAGGCGCAGTTGATCCTGTGACGGACATACCGCCCGCATTGGCCACTATGAAGATACTAGTGCCATCTTCTGGTGAGCTCGGAGAGTTTTATCCGTCATTAGTTCTTGTTGTTTAATTTCAGTAACTTTGTTCAGAGATAACTTCTAACGATCAGTATTTATGATAAATATACCCCACATGCCATGAAATACCTATAAGACCAGCTTATGTTACTACAGTACTGACATTGATAAATAAACAAGTATTTCAATCGTACAAAAGATGAATTTAGAATTTTATAAACCTCTAGTTTCGCGTTTGTGTTGAATTTAAAATTTAAATAGATGTTAAGTGAGAAGTGTTAGAACTTGTATTACAATCCAGATAATTGTGAAATATTATAATACAAGATTTATGTAATGTAAATATTATACCATTGTCTATGATTTAGGGAATAGTTGGCAATTTTATTGACTTTATTGATTGTACTTGGTATTACTACTTGGTATTATTTTTAATACGCTCTTATTAGCTTCAGACGTATGTGTGTTAGTATGTAACGGAATCTTTGAACTTGATTTTGACCCCCTTCTAAACGTCGAATTAACTCGAAATTTGGTATACTTATTAAGGACGAAGACAATCCAATATTTAAAAAAAATAAGAAAAATATTGAAATTCATTTAAAAAATGAAAAATAAATAATAGTTTAATAAAAACTAATAAAATACGCTTTTATAGAAAATACAACTAAAATATAGAATATAAATTTTGATAAATTTGAATTAAAAATATTGTAAGAAAAAATGATTTTATTGTAAAAAAAAGCTTGGGGTGCATGGTATCGGTAGTCATAAATATTTTATGAACAGATATGAGTAGAAGGGTTATTTTGATAATGTCCTGAAAATCACCCCAGTTAGTTGGTTTTCTATAAAAGCGTGTTTTGTTAGTTTTTTAAACTATTATTTATTTAAACTTACAATTAGGGTCGTTTCAAATGCATAAATACTACTTTTACTAATACTACTTTTAACCGATTTCGATTTTAAAAAAGAATTGATAAAGTTTTGCATACTTTTCTTTATTGTAGGTTACGTGAATTCGTCTTCTAGCTCGAATGCAAAGGGCTCTATAAGAATAGACGTCGAGAGACCGATTCGGCTGGACCTGTGCACGGATCGATTCAAACGTGTCAAAGGAATTATTAATCTCGTATGTTTATTTTAATCTTAATTCGTATTCTCAGGTGATTGAGTCACTTGCAAGTTCAATAATATTTTGAAAAGAACCTATAAGAAGATGCACATTTATATATATATTTATACCTATTCAAGTTTTCGTTCAGTTCCCCTTCGACACAAGTTGATCAATGGCTGGTAATAGGTCTCACCAAAGGCTTGATAAAAATCCTGTAAATCCCACGACCCTTGTCGTTGATCCTTGTGAGAGCGCCCCCAGATTGTGCCTTTTGGTGCGTGATCACCACTCTTGAGTAAATTGCCGGTCGTTGTCCTTGTCGAACCCGTCGCTTGCGACGAAGGACTCGGCGAGTAAGTTAGCCTATAGACATAGTCCACTGAGTTTCTCGCCGGATCTTCTCAGGGGGTTGCGTTTCCGATTCGGTGGTAAATTCTGCGAAGCACTGCTCTTGCTAGGGTCAGTGTCAGCAACATCATTAGGTTTGAGCCCCGTGAGCTCACCTACTAGTTAAGGTTACGCTGATATGGTCTCTCTAGAGACTCTAGACCATCAGCTTAGGTAGGAGAAAAAAAGAGTAAATTTGTACTTTTCGTTAGGTATAGAATATAATAATAATTATTATGAATGGGAACGAATTACGCACGGTTATCTGGCGCCTAATTAAGATTCCTTGTGTTATGGGTACCAGAGACTAACAAACAGTTGTATACGTTTAAATATATACATAAATAGATAACAAGCACCCAGAAAAAGACTAAACAAACCTGTTTATCATACAACGTTTGCCCGGTGTGGGATTCGAACCCACGACCCTCGGCGCAACAGTCGGGGGTGCTAACTGCTACACCGCCGAGTCATTTAGTCAGTATATTTATATATGATTTTGTAAAACAAACTATAGTTTTTACGTAGTTTCTACAAATTTAACTATACGAAGGTACGTAGTGCTGTTACTAGATATCGCAATGCATTTCGTATTTCGCAGATAAATAAACAAGTACCATATTCGCCCTCAAGACACAATGAAATTACAGCTGAAACTCCTCATTTGTACGGGCTCCGGCGGTTCTTTAGTGAGTATTTTATTAGGGCACTAACATTGTACGTTCTTGGATTGTTTCAAGAGCTTTATAAGTCTCCGATAGTCTTAAGACCTGAGATCGAATTCTCAATTGCATTAAATAATGACTGCCCCGCTCTTCAAACCGAAACGCATTACTGCTTCTCGGCAGAAATAGGCAGGGTGGTGGTACTGTTACATGTACTCCTCAATAATAACGCAATAATGCAGACTAAGGCATTCCTGAATGCATCGTCTCCATATAAAGACGATTTATTGCTAAAACGGGTAGAATAGAATTGGCTTGAATAGCGGAAACACAAATCGTTTGTACTATTTCTTTTGTAAAATATACTCAGTGTCAGTCATAGTTTCCTTTTTTGAAAACAGGCTCCTGGATCGACCCAGTAACAGTACCTACCCGTATGGACTCCCAACTAGACCAACACCAGTAGAAAAAGTAAAAAGCTGATAGTGTTCATTGTTGGCTGTCACTACAAGATTGAGTTTTCATTAGTTCACTGTTAGTATGTAAAATACTGGTGGTAGGACCTCTCGTGAGTCCGCGCGGATATATACCACCACTCTGCCTATTTCTGCCGTGAAGCAGTAATGCGTTTCGGTTTGAAGGGTGGGGCAGCCGTTGTAACTATACTGAGACCTTAGAACTTATATCACAAGGTGGGTGGCGCATTGCCGTGAAGCAGTAATGCATTTCGGTTTGAAGGGTGGGGCAGCCGTTGTAACTATACTGAGACCTTAGAACTTATATCACAAGGTGGGTGGCGCATTTACGTTGTAGATGTCTTTGGGCTCCAGTAACCACTTAACACTAGGTGGGCTGTGAGCTCGTCCACCCATCTAAACAATTAAAAAAGAAAGTTCATTATCATTATCATTAATTGATTTGTAGGTATTCACGGTATTGAGAGCGTCACAATGCTGACGAGCCAATTAGTAGCGTGCGGTTCAGAAGGCGTTGTGGGATGCAACGCTTCCACGGTACAGATAGCGATCGGCTCCAGACCAGAGAGACTCGCGACCAGGGCTTCGGTCACGGGACTGGTGATCGCCGCCGGACCACCCGAGCGGAGACACCCCATGCTGCAACCCTTGATGATGGGGTAATTTTCGATCGATATAATCGATACTAGTTGATCAATTTATATTGACTAGTTGCCCCTCAATAGTCGAAGTTTAACTATAATTAATTGAAATTATAAGTTTGAACATCGTTATGGTTCTATTGTCAAAGACTATTATATTTCTAATCACAGATGTCGCCAACTTTACACTATAGACAAATAATATTAAAGGCAATCATTAATAATCTCGATTTGACAACAGACTTTAAACATTATCAAAATCTTGAGATATACATATATATATGTCTTGCGTCAAATACATAGTAGTTTCTGTATTGTTTTTTTTTATGTTTTTTTTAGGCATAATTAAAAACATATTAGCATTCTGAATTTATTCTCTATAAGTGTGGGAAATTTCAATCTCCTCCGTCCGCAATTTTCTTAAAAATGGATACAAAAAATCTTGCTTCACGTATATAGATATAAAAAATTTTCTCGTACTAATTTCTACAATAGAGTATTTCTACAGTAAGATGTGTAGTATAATTTAGGAGAAAATTAAGTAATACCTATAGTATACTTAAAAGCACTTTCATATATTAACAAAATCTAAAGCAGATTAATTACGTTCATAGAAATCGTTTGAGTACAACTGTGACTATGCGAACATTTGAACAGCTGTCTGGTGTAGTGGTAAGGGACATGGTCACTACACAAGGGGGTCGCGGGTTCGAATCCCGCCAAGGGAAAATATTTGTCGGATAAATATAAAATTTATTTTCCAGTGTTATGGATGTATATTGTATGTGTATAATAAAAATTTTACATCTATTTCCGTTATCTATATGTGAATGATTAATCGTACAGCATCGAACTAGACGCGCAGTGGGAAGCGTGGAGGCGAGCCGAAGGTGGGATGTCTGCGAGGGATCCCACAGTACGTGTTGGGATCGAAGTTGACTGCGTCACTGTGGACCTTAAACCAGAAGACTTGGCAGCGCTGAAAAGAATTAAGAAGACACTGCTAGACATGTCTCGCAATGAACAGGTTAGGAATTAAATAAATTAGGATTTGATTACATTTGATTGATTGCTTAAGATTAATTTATATTTAATTGGGAAATGATCCGCGACAGATTTTTCCTGTAAGTTGTGAGACAATTAGAAAAAATATCTATTTCACTTAAAATTAGTTCAGCGCAATCGGACAACTGCCAAGTTTACAACTATACTTTCTTTCATATCCTACAATCTTGATTACATTCAATTTCATGTAAAAGGAATGCTTAGCAGTAAACAGTAGCTTGGCTATGCAATTGGCATTGGTGATGTCCATGAACTACAGTACCAACTGGTAATTAAACTAAACATGCTTCGCAATATACAACTAAATATTGAACTGTTTACTCTAGTTAAATTAACGAATTTTCTAGGTAGCTACAACCCTCGAGAGTAATGCCAACAATGACATTAACAATGTTGACAACACTGAAGGTCAGCCGACGCCATTGAACGTGGAAAGGCCACCCTCGTTGTCTTCAATAGATACGACTTACAGTACCGAAACAGGCGACCATTACTACAAGGACGATTTGAGGTGCGAACAGGTTTTATTTTTGTTGTATATCCGGTGGTAAGTCGAAAGAGAGAAATAGTATAATGGCGTAGCTAGCAAACGTCTTCGTACCAATGCGTACAGATGATTTTAAATAATATCAAACCACATTGAATCCTAAACCATGAGTATAATAAAAATATAATATCATAATATTGTCATTCAGTCACGTTTCTAACACGTATATTTTATGTTGTCTGATCTTTGTATCTTTAGCGTTCTAGAACCTTTAGAATTATATTATCCTTATCAAATACAATTTTTTTTAAAAACACAATTTTCAACTACAACAAAATATTCTGGAATATTCGAAGTTGTTTTGTTATGCTTAAGTTGCGCGCTGTGATTTTTCTTATGTCAGTTTCATTAAAAAAAGCCTTTTTTGTGTTAAAACATCTGTATCACTCCTTTTTTTTAATTACCTAATTAATCTCTCTCTTGCGCCATTGATGCCGGAAAGAAATTTGATTGAATTGAATGTTGTAATGTAATTAATTGAAAAATATAAGCTATCCACTCGAGAGGACGCAAAAGCGGCTCTGTCACTTTTAGAATTCAGTGGTACCCAAGTACTTTAGATGAGATTAAAATTAAATCTCAAAATACCTTCATACTTCTCTGAAACTGTACGCGCCATCTAGCGTACGTTAAATTAGGTCAAAAACTTCATAGAAATACCAAGAAAAAGTAAAATAATTCAACTCAATTGTATGGTAATTTCGAATAAACGATAAACATATACAGAAAACGTGAAATCACAAACCGTAATTTTAAATGAAATTTAATAAACTCACTATTGAGCGTACCTCTTCCCTGAGTCGCAATCCTCGTGTTTGAGGGTCGTGACCATCTCCTCAGATTATCCTTCTCCGGATGATATTTCGTCGTGGAGATTTGATTGGACCAGCGCATTGAGCGTACATTGCTTTGTTAGTTAAGGTCTAATAAAAAGTATTTACAGGACCGGAGCATTCAAGATAGTCTCTGGTGGTCAGCTGCCGATGGCGTATCAAGTTATATTGCACGGCAGCTGTGTGTCGTGGCGCTACCCTCATCCTCGAGCTATCACTCGTCTCATAGTGTTCCCGTTGCCTGGATTGGTATGTTAAATATACTCAAAATTATCACTAGTTTTGAGGTTTCTTTCTAAATAGTAATGTGTTTCGGGGCATGTTAATTTCTCTTGCGAAGTATTCATGCGTACTTTCAATCACCGTCCTCCACCACCAGTAAATTAACCCGTAGACACGCCCACTGAGTTTGTCGCAGGATCTTCTCAGTCGCGTTTCCGATCCGGTGGTAGATTCTGCGAAGCACTGCTCTTGCTAGGGTAACGCTGATTTAGCCTCTCAAAGCTATAAGCATAAGTAGAAAAAAAAGCGTAAAAGTTTGAACAGTAGTTATACAATACAGTTTTTTCACCTTATGTATGTCTGTCTGGTAATCACTGATCCTAGGTAGGTCGTGAGCATCAATGCACCTAGCTCGTACTGTAGATGCTTTCAAATCACTGCTTCCCGAACTGTTATAATTACTGAACATTGTAAGAGATAGATATATAAGAAATGAGATAGATGCGTGTGAAGTTTCTACAGCTGATATATTGATATAACAACAATGTTTTGGTAACTTTTGAGTAGTTCACTTTTAGTGTTATGGTGGTAGGACGTATTGTGAGTCCGCGCGGGTAGGTACTGTTAAAGTTAGTATCAAAATAATGTTCTGTGGATGGCGACATCTGTTAGCAAATATTTGGCACACCTCATAATTGTCTATTATAAGAATGAAATATAGTTAGTCTGTGAACAACCTCCGAGCGTGTTTTATTAGGTTATGGGCCCAGTCCCACTTTTAACAAATTATTAGAAGTTATTCAGTGCAATAGTTTCCTAAAAGTGAATTATGTCGACGTCGGGCTACCTAGTTAATGTGCCGAAACTCAAAGGTCGCGAAAATTACGATGATTGGGCGTTCGCAACAAGTAATTTTTTGCTGCNATTATTGGCCATGACAATGTGGCATAGAAGACTAGGACATGTAAACAGTAAATCTTTAGAAATGATGAAAGAAGGTGCTGTGAAAGGGGTTACTTTTGATAAGAAAGCTGATATTCAGATCAAGAACTGTGAAGTGTGCTGTGAGGGCAAACAGGCTCGTTTCCCTTTCCCATCTGCTAATCATAGAAGTGATATACTACTAGACGTAATACACTCAGATTTATGTGGGCCGATGGAGACCAAATCAATTGGTCAAGCAAAGTACTTTCTTCTGTTCATAGATGATGCCAGCAGAATGACTTATGTCTATTTCTTGAAGGAAAAGAACCAAGTATTCCAGCATTTCAAAGAATTTCGTGTTTTGGTGGAGAATCAAACAGGAAACAAGATCAAAATATTGAGAACAGATAACGGNAGTTAGTCTGTGAACAACCTCCGAGCGTGTTTTATTAGGTTATGGGCCCAGTCCCACTTTTAACAAATTATTAGAAGTTATTCAGTGCAATAGTTTCCTAAAAGTGAATTATGTCGACGTCGGGCTACCTAGTTAATGTGCCGAAACTCAAAGGTCGCGAAAATTACGATGATTGGGCGTTCGCAACAAGTAATTTTTTGCTGCTCGAAGGCATTGACTTGGAGAACCTTTCCGCAGAAATGAGTGAAGCTGAGATGAAAAAAGCCAAAGCCAAACTCGTCATGACTATTGACTCTTCATTATACGCGCATATCAAGAGTGAGACTACAGTAATCGGTGTATGGAATAAATTGAAACAATTGTTCGATGACACCGGGTATCAACGAAAAATCAGTTTGCTTCGAACGTTAATTTCAGTTCGCCTCGAAAACTGTGATTCGATGACAAGCTACGTATCTCAAATAGTTGAAACTGCGCAGAAATTGAAGGGCACAGGATTCGAAATCACAGATGAGTGGATTGGGTCATTACTTTTGGCGGGACTCTCAGATAAGTTTTCACCTATGATAATGGCGATCGAGCATTCAGGAATCGCCATTAGCGCTGACGTCATTAAGACAAAATTGCTCGATATGTGTGAGGAGGTGGGTACTACTGAAAAAGATTCTGCATTTTGGTCAAAACAACAGCGGTGGAAAAGTGGAAACACTAACCGTGGTGTGAAATCGCAAACGTCAACGTCAAATAGTGACAGAAATGACAGTGCAAGTTCAAATGGCGGTAAACAAATAAAATGTTATAATTGCAAGAAAATAGGGCATTTTAAAAATAAATGTCCCGAACTAAAAACAAAGAAAACCTTAAATGCTTTTAGTGCTGCATTTTTTAACGGAAATTTTAGTACAAAAGACTGGTACGTCGATTCAGGTGCAAGTGCACACATGACGGCAAGTCGAGATTGTTTACAGTTAAATAGACCCGTGCATGAAAACAAAGAAATAGTAGTTGCAAATCAAATGACTGTGCCTGTTGTGAGTGTTGGTGAAACACAGATAACCACGATTGTAAATGGTTCTCAGTATGATGTCATTGTAAAGAATGTTTTATACATACCGAAGCTCACGACAAACTTATTATCGGTAAGTCAACTGATAGCAAATGGCAACAAAGTGTCATTTAAGAAGGATGTTTGTTTAATATATAATCCAGTAAATGAGCTTATAGGAATTGCAAACTTAACTAATGGTGTGTACAAACTACAAATACAAAGACCAGAGAGTGCATTATTGGCCATGACAATGTGGCATAGAAGACTAGGACATGTAAACAGTAAATCTTTAGAAATGATGAAAGAAGGTGCTGTGAAAGGGGTTACTTTTGATAAGAAAGCTGATATTCAGATCAAGAACTGTGAAGTGTGCTGTGAGGGCAAACAGGCTCGTTTCCCTTTCCCATCTGCTAATCATAGAAGTGATATACTACTAGAAGTAATACACTCAGATTTATGTGGGCCGATGGAGACCAAATCAATTGGTCAAGCAAAGTACTTTCTTCTGTTCATAGATGATGCCAGCAGAATGACTTATGTCTATTTCTTGAAGGAAAAGAACCAAGTATTCCAGCATTTCAAAGAATTTCGTGTTTTGGTGGAGAATCAAACAGGAAACAAGATCAAAATATTGAGAACAGATAACGGAGGTGAGTTTTGTTCACAAGAGATGGAAGAGTTCTTAAAACAAACTGGAATCATCCATCAGAAGACTAATCCTCACACTCCACAACAGAATGGACTCTCAGAAAGGTTCAACAGAACTGTAGTTGAACGGGCTAGATGTTTACTGTTTGAATCAGATCTCGACAAAAGTTTTTGGGGTGAAGCAGTAAATACTGCAGTATACCTAATGAATAGAATGCCAGCTGTCAGTCTAGGCATGATGACACCATATGAGAAGTGGACAGGCAAGAAGCCAGATTTGAGCTATGTCAGGATTTTTGGAAGTAAAGTAATGGTGCATGTTCCCAAAGTGCAAAGACAAAAATGGGATAAGAAGGCTGACAAATTAATTCTAGTTGGTTATCCGGATAACGTGAAAGGTTACAGACTATATAACCCCAAAACCAGGAAGATTACTACGAGCAGGGACGTCATTATAATAGAGAAAGAACACTCGGACACAGCTCAGGTAGTAGTAAATAATGAAAAAGTGTTGGAGAAAGTTGAAAATTCAGAGAAAGAGAGAAGCATATCAGAAAATTCAACTATAGACGCTAACGATCCTACATATATTTATGACTCATCAAGCTCCCACGAAGATTCATATCAATCGGTGTATGAAAGTGAAAATGAGTCAACCTTAGATTCCATTTTAGAAGAAAATATTCAAAACTTACAGGAGCTTGGTAAGCGCAAGAGAAAGCCAGTAGAAAGATATGGCTATTCCAATCTCTGCATTGTAGATGAGCTGGAATCCTGTGGTGAAGAACTGAGTTATGAAACAGCAATAAATGGACCAGAGAAGGAACTGTGGGAACAGGCGATGGCAGAAGAACTGAAGGCATTTGAAGAAAATCAAGCATGGGAATTTGTTGACAGAAAAGAAGCTGATAGGGTGGTGCAATGTAAATGGGTTTTTAAGAAAAAGTTTGAATGTGATGGTAAAGTGCGTTATAGGGCTAGACTGGTAGCAAAAGGTTTTACTCAAAAAGAAGGTTTGGACTATAACGAGACATACTCACCAGTGCTTCGTTACTCTACTTTGAGACTTTTATTCGCATTAAGTGTGAAACTTAACTTAAAAATTACTCATTTGGATGTCACTACAGCATTCCTAAATGGTTATCTAAATGAAAATGTATACATGCATGTTCCTCCTAATTTAGATTGTAAAGAAAATTGTATACTTAAATTAAAACGTGCAATTTATGGTTTGAAACAATCGGCCAGAGCTTGGAATGAAAGAATAAATGATTGTTTATTAAACTCCAACTTTGTTAGGTTAAAATTAGAACCATGTTTATATATTAAAAGGAGTGAAAAAGAACTGATCATAATAGCAGTTTTTGTAGATGATTTTTTTATATTTTCTAATTGTCAAGATATGGTAAATGAGATTAAGAGTGTACTAATAAAAAAATTTAAGATTAAAGACTTAGGACAGTTAAAACAATGTTNAAATGATTGTTTATTAAACTCCAACTTTGTTAGGTTAAAATTAGAACCATGTTTATATATTAAAAGGAGTGAAAAAGAACTGATCATAATAGCAGTTTTTGTAGATGATTTTTTTATATTTTCTAATTGTCAAGATATGGTAAATGAGATTAAGAGTGTACTAATAAAAAAATTTAAGATTAAAGACTTAGGACAGTTAAAACAATGCTTAGGCATTAGAATTCAAATGTATAAAAATGGTTCCATTTCACTAGATCAAAAACATTTTGTGGATTACATATTAAATAAATTTAATATGACAAATTGTAATGGTGTTGATACACCAATTGAGAATAATTTAAAGCTAGAGAAAAGTGTTGATGTTTGTAAACAATACCCATTTCAACAATTAATAGGAAGCTTAATGTATTTAAGTGTCTTAACTCGCCCAGATATATCTTATAGTGTAAGTTTTTTGAGCCAATTTAATAATAGTTATTCACTTATACATTGGAAACATGCAAAACGAATTTTGAGATATTTAAGCAAAACTAAATCTTATGGGCTTATGTTTACTAAAGATGATTGTAACTTAGAGGGTTTTGTTGATGCAGACTGGGCCTCAAATACTGTAGATAGAAAATCTTATACAGGTTTTTACTTTAAGTTTTCAGGATCTGTTATCTCATATGAATGTAAAAAACAGCAGACTACAGCCCTATCTAGTACAGAAGCTGAATACATGGCGATAACCGAGGCTTGTAAAGAGGCAATATATTTAAAGAACTTGTTGAATGAGATTGTAGATTTTTGTAATTATACAATAACCTTGTACAACGACAATCAAGGGGCTCAGAAGTTGACAGAGAATCCAATGTTCCATAAAAGAACTAAGCACATTGACGTGCGTCACCATTTTGTTAGAGAAGCAGTTGCTAACAAACATGTAAAAATAGTTTATCTGCCAACATCTGAAATGCCTGCAGACCTGTTAACAAAGGGCTTGAGTAGTGTCAAACATAGCTATTTTGTTAAGAAGCTAGGCATGCATATTATTGTGTGATTTATAAAAAAAAAAATATATATATTTTAAGTAGCTAAGTATGCATTTACTGGATTGTTTGTGACAGTATGCTTTTGAATTGTTATTTAAGGTTTAGATTATTTTGATAAGTTGAGGTGTTAAAGTTAGTATCAAAATAATGTTCTGTGGATGGCGACATCTGTTAGCAAATATTTGGCACACCTCATAATTGTCTATTATAAGAATGAAATATAGTTAGTCTGTGAACAACCTCCGAGCGTGTTTTATTAGGTACGACCGCCCTGCCTATTTCTGCCGTGAAGCAGTAATGCGTTTCGGTTTGAAGGGCGGGGCCGCCGTTGTAACTATACTGAGACCTTAGAACTTATATATCAAGGTGGGTGTCGGGATTTATGCTGTACATGTCTATGAGCTCCGGTAATCGCTTAACATCAAATGAACCAACAACCTAAGCAATAAAAAAAAGTACCATCTCTGTTCCATAAACATTTATCTCGTCTAGGTAAACGATATACCGTGCGTCCTAGAGTTTTATATACCGATGCTTGGCAAATGGGAGGCGCACACCCACTTCTCGTTGCCGGTCGGTGAGCCCAACGAACTACGACTCCAGGTCACGCCTCCGGGTATGTTATTTAATTGTTCTTGTGCTTACTCGACGTACATCTGACTCTGACTGATGCGGCGGACTCGATGGTGCTGTAGGTAGCGGGCCTTGACTGTTGCGCCGAGGGTCGTGGGTTCGATTCCCGCATCGAGCAAACATTTTGTAATGAACAGCGGTGTTTGCTTTTTATGTACGGTGTTTATTATCTACTAGCGACCCGCCCTCGTGTCGCTTCGGAAACTGTAATTTATTATTGTTTTCTCCACTATTTAATGAATGTTAGTGTACATATAAACCTTCCTCTTCAATCACTCTATCTATTAAAAAAAACCGCGTCAGAATCCGTTGCGTAGTTTTAAAGATTTAAGCATACATAGGGACAGACAGATATAGGGACAGAGAAAGCGACTTTGTTTTATACTATGTAGTGATGTATGTATATATTTAAACGTATGTAAGTATAAATTAATTGGAGACGAATGACCGCGTAATTTCTTATTAATTATTATTGTTACATCTAGGATCTAGATGTATCCGTGTAGATATGGTTTTGTTATAAAATTGGGTGCCTATCTAGTGTCCGCTTTCTTTGGAAACTATAATCAATAAATCAGATATCAGTTAAAGATGAAAAGCAAGGAATTAGTTCCAGCAATCACTCGAAAATAATATTATAGTTTTTTAGTTATTAGTAAGGATAATATATTATGTAAAAGCTAACGAAATTCAACTGATGATCTTCTACTTGTCTATGACCTTCTAGTATGACGATTTATATTTTTTCTTCTGAAATTAAAATTAATATGTATTGGACTTTTCTTACAGAAACTGTGTTTGCTCAAATATGGCGCTTCCGTATTTACGAGGAGACCGGCAAAGAAACGCCATACGAATTTAAATTAAGCAAGTTCACGCCGAGAAATGATCCTTTGGTATGAAAGATTTTTAATTATATTGTTTTACATAATTTTAAATCTTTCCCGACCGTGAAAAATATTTCTTTCTTTTAATAATCTATACATATAAATAAAATTAGTGTGTCTGTTTGTAATATTGCGAATATGGCGAAGCTAGTCTAAAAAAAGTAGCCTAAGTTACTCCTTATATCATCAGCTACCTATCAGTGAAAGTCTCGTCAAAATCGATCCAGCCGTTCCAGAGATTAGCCGGAACAAACAGACAGACAGACAAAAATGGTAAAAAAATATATTTTGGGGTATGTACCGTATATATATTCATATGCATGTAGTAAAAAGCGGTTATTTCAATATTACAAACAGACACTCCAATTTTATTTATATGTATAGATTTAAAGTATTTTTTGTGTATAATTTAAAAAAAATATTATCATTCTGCACTCCTTCTCTATATTCTCTATAAGTGTGGGAAATTTCATACTCCTCCCGTCCGCGCAATTTTCGTAAAAAGGGATACAATTTTAGTTCACACATTAATACTACCTCCCGCATTTATTTTAAGCATTCCTGCATTTGCAGCAAACGGACACGTTTAGCGAGCCACCGGACCCGACCGGTTCAGCATCAGGAGTGACAGCCGAACAGCTCTCGGGCGTGAGCCGCGTCGACTCGTACTTCGCACCGCGACTCCTACCGAACACGAGACTCTTCGTGCGAGCAGCGAACATCGAAGTGCATTTCCATAACTCGTTACCTTATTTGACCAGGTCAGGACAGATTCATTTAAATAATATTCTAAAATTTGATATACATATATAAATAATTCAGATTTTTTTGGAACGAAGTTCCTTATGGGACGATGCGGAGGGGTACCCTAACCGGGAAAAACGTCCGTAACGTAAGATTTTTATTAGTAATGCACACAGTGTACGACTTAACTTTGTAATAACGTTCAAAAAATTATATATTTTTTTATCATTCATTGACCACAATCTCAGAGCGTTCGTTTGCGCAATACACTAACTTTTATACAAACAACCGTGAATGAAGTGTACCACAATAAGTTCGCACGTTACCAAATGACCGTGGGTTGTTGCGTAACCTCCAGCTTTATTATCTTTATACCTCGAATAGAACTTAAAATTAATATTTTTATAATAAGGATCCTTGTTCCTGTCCGGTATCCCATGACACCGTACATCTTTTTTTGATTCAGTACTTAGTGTTTTTAAGAAATTTTGTACTAAATTTATATGCAGTTTAAAGTATGTACGTTAATGTCAATTAGATTATATTAATTATTGAATAAGTCCGAGTAAAATAGGTGAGCTCTAATTTGACATCTCATGTCACAATTCCAAATGTATTTTATTATTATTAATTATTAATTTAGGTGTGTGGTGGCATTAACGTTATAGATGTCTATGGGCTCCGGTAACCGCTCAACACCAGGTGGGATCTGAGCTCGTAATAAATTTAAAAAAAAAGTAGTAATTGTTTAGGTACTATGTAGTTATATTTTTCTTTTCCAGTAATGCAACGGTTTTGGAAGGATACTACGTGTCGCGCCCGTTGATGCGCAGTCACCGCGTGTTGACGTTGTACGCACGCAATCTGACCGCGCACGCCGAACTAGACTCGCCCGCCGGCATATCCGTGTTAATCGACACACGACTCTCGTGAGTACATAATACGGTATCATCTCCGGTGGTAGATTCTGCGAAATTCACTCAAGTTGAACCCGTGAGCTCACTTAACCGTCCACGCGTAGGAATAGCCTCTTAGACTACCAACGAATATGTAGGGAATAAAATCAATATGTACTCAATCACAATCAAATGGTGAACACGAAAATAATGGGGCTTCGCATCTTCAAAATTTTTTAACTTATTGAGGTATATCATGTGAGCCTTTTGTATCGATTCTATTAATTATGGATATTAAATAAGCTTAGTTCAACTTTCACTTATAATAATCGAAAGCTCCTTCACCAGAAGTGCTTCGATGTTCGGTTGCACGTATTTTAATCTTAATCTTTATCGAATTTTAGGTTAGTTACGAAATACACTATTCACTCATGGATTATTTTCACTTACTGTTATGATTCGAAACAGGCTGTGACCTATTTAGTACTCAATATAGGCCACAGTCTATCTTGTAACAATGATTAGTGTTATTTGTCGAGATTTGTCGTGATCTAAAACACATTTCTTGAGATTTCTTGGTAAATGTAGTAAAAACTTAAGATAGCAGATTAAAATGTAATTTCATATCATATAAGAACTAAAATTGGCAAAAAAGCTACCCTTTAAACCGAAAAACATAAGTACCTCACGACAAGACAGCATGCCTTAGAACTCATGTCTCGAGATGGGTGGGCAGCGTTTAACATTGTAGATGTCTATGGGCTCCAGTAACCACTCAACAACAGGTGGGTTGTAAGCTCGTCCACCCAAATAAGCAATAAAAATAGTGCTATAGAACTCTGCTAAGTTTTTTTATCATCAAAATTTTCGTTTGTATTTTTATGTATCTGACTACAACCTTTTTTTTAACGCTGGGGAATCCATTTACGGATACCCGGTCGAGGGGAGGGAGACGAGGAAGGCCAAGGTCATTCACCTCGCCCCGCAAAACCAACTACCGACTAAACCCCTACAACCTAGCACTAAATACAGGATCCGTTTAACAGATTCGACATCCTGGAGTGCGATACCGGGACAATGGACGGGCTCGTAAGCGAGTTTCCCGCGCAGCTCGCTCTGTCCGTGCCCATGAGTACGCCGCAGCTCGCCAAAGTGCGTGCTCGGCTCGACCTCCTGCGCGTGCGTCTACACGTTCCGAGACTTAGAGTCATACACGCTCTGGTCAAAGACTGGAGGGTAGCCATCGATCAGGTAATGTTTTTTTTTTTATTGCTTCGATTTGTGGATAAGCTCACAGCGCACCTGGTGTTAAGTGGTTATTGGAGCCCATGGACATCTACAACGTAAATGCCGCCATGCATCTTGAGACAAGAGTTTTAAGATCTCAAGTATGGTTACAACGACTGCCCCACCTTTCGAACCGAAATGCATTACTGCTTCACGGCAGAAATAGGTAGGGTGGTGGTACCTACCCGCGCTGACTCACAAGAGTTCCTACCACCAATAAAAACTTCGTATCTGAACATCTGTCAACCCCCCTCCCCCCTTTTCGGGCCGCTATTTGTTTTGATTTTGATCCTGCTGGTAGCAAAGTGCGCGGGATCACCCGCTAGGCTCCTCTGAATGTTTCTTGAAAATGTCATCGGAATCGATTCAGCCCATACATCGATATTAACTATATAGATTCATCGATCGCAAATAAATAACATATTATCAGACATGTTTCGTATTATATATAAGAATTTTAAGCAAAATATAATAGTGGATCTTTGTGAGTCTACACATTTCTAGGGCTGGTTGCTTGGTAACTTAAGACATTGAAGTATTTGATTATTTTTCTTCTAAGATTCATATGGAAGCATGGTATTGTCAAATGAATTCATTTTGTATTGAGTATTATATAGTTTAATGTGTACTAGTGGTCCCTCTGTAGTCGAAATTCGACTATAATTATTTGAAATTTAGATTTGGACATTATTATGGTTCTATTGTCATAGACTAATATGTTTCTATAATCACAGATTTTGCCCAGGCTACACTGTAGACAAATATATTAAAGATGAACAATATTAATGATAGTAAAAAAACAGTATATATATGTATGTGTGTAGGTGTTGTGTCAAATACATGGTAGTGTGTGTAATGTTTTCTTTATTGATTTAATTCTTTTTTTTTTGCACAATTTAAAAAATATATTAGTATTCAGCACTTCTTCTCTATGTTCTCTATAAGTGTGAGATATTTTATACCCCTCCGTCCGCGCAATTTTCGTAAAAAGGGGTACAAACTTTCTACTTCACGTATTAATATATAGATAGTTATATAAAAAACATTCCGGAGTTTTGTTTAACATACACGATATTAATACTTTTATTTTTTCAGTATCTTGAAAAAGCCCGACTGGAACCGAACGTGGAATTGGAAACGAAAAATATAAGAACCAAACGAGACTTCGCGGATGCCATGGAGGAAGCGTTGGAAGGACGCGTCTCACTCTGGGTGCACAACAGTTGCTCTGCCGCTCTGAGGATGGGACAAGAGGGAACTGATGAAGTCGTGCCTCTGGGACCTGGAACTAGGCTTGCGTACCGGTGAGAGAGAGAGAATACACTTTATTGCACACCAAAACACAATTTACATAAAAAAAAAAAACAATTAAAAAAAGCAGATACATTTATACAATAGGCAAACAAGGAGGAGGAGAAGCAAGGAGACAAACAAAAAGTCTTTAAGACTTTTTTCTTCTCCCAATAATGAAAAAACCGATAGGTTCTGTTATCCAATATTACAACTCATTTAACTTTCAAATGTCTTCTGATTGTCTTGACAGTATTATTTTTATGGTGACCTTGTCAACAGATGGCGTAATCCCACAGCCCCGAAGACGCTTCGGTTTTCTCTCGCTGGTCCCACTGCCGACTGGCATTGGTCTAACAGTGAGTGCTTTCCCACATGTAAACGGTTTCCCACATATATAATAATGGGAAAATTTTATAAAAAATACACACTTACTGACGAAAGTAACTATAATGATTAAAAAATCATCTAGATATCTGTGACGAAAAACCTCATTATAAATACACAGTGTAGTTTATAAATGTATTAAATATCATAACAGTTAATCGCGGTTTGGTTGTATTGAATATAAATAACTGTGATTATAAATAACTTATAAAAAATATAAATACTGCGCTATGACATGTCCTTCTTCAAAAGAATCTTGTGGAGAGTACTGGCTTGGCTCTGCCCCTGGCATTGCTGACGTCCAAGGGCGACGGTAACCACACAACGTCAGGTCAGCCGTAAGCTCGTCTGCGTGCAAGCTCAATAAAAAAAAAATTAACTTAATATATTAACATCTGGCAAGAGGAAAAGAGGCTGTCTCAGAAGAACTTGGCGCCGCTCGATGGAGCAGGAGCTAGGCGACTTGGGCATGACGAGGGAGGTGCTAGAACAGACTGCCCAAGACCGATGTAAATGGAAGGATTTGATTCGAGCCCTACACCCCAGCAGAGGGTAATAGGAAAGAATGAAGAAGACTATATTAAGATATTTTTTATTTCTTAGTTGGGTGGACGAGCTCACAGCCCACCTGGTGTTAAGTGGTTACTGGAGCCCATAGACATCCACAACGTAAATGCGCCACCCACATAATAATATAATAAATTGTTATTGTTGTTTTCGACGAAGGCATCCCATTCACATTGGGCAGTCATCGAGTGCGCTTAGAAGACGCTGAACGTCTCGGCGGCAAGGGTCCGGGAGCGGGGGTGTTTGTTCATGCCGCGGTGGAAGGGAAAGGGGCTAGATTATGCCTCCATTTGTCAGGACGACTGGTCCTGGCGAACATGCTTAGGTTCGATTTACTATACAAGGTGAGTTTACAAGAACAGTTAAAGTTTTTTTTTTTGCGAGACATTATTGGTGGCCTTGGGGCCTTTCCAGTTTCACCAGAACAGGCCGGTTTAGTTGTGGATAATGGATATGACCTACTTCAACATTTGCATGTTCAAAGTTTTGATCGCTGAACTACAACGCGAGATTGGTTTGCAGAAAAAATACGTAATACAGTATACTCTTGTAACGATAGATTTAGTTTTTTTAGCCTTGTATTGGATTAAATGAAAATATAGCAATTTTGTTTTACAAAACGTAGTTTTATTCGAGAGGGTTCTATCATTGCCCAGGAATTGCAGACTTACATAGCTTATATTAAAGTATAAACTAGAGATGTACTCATTACAGTATGAGTCGATAAAGTAGGGTTTGATTTTTTTAATTTCAACACCTTTGATTTTTAATGCATTTGTAGACAGACGAGCATACGGACCACCTGATCGTAAGTGGTCACCGTCGCTCATGGACGTCTGCAATGCCAGCGGCAGAGCCAAACCGCTGCCTTCCATTGAAAATATGTAAACAAATAGGTAGTAGCTCGGAACAAACCCCACTGCTCGTAGTGAAAGTCATGGTGTATGGTCTTCTCAGGTCCGTGCCCGTTGCTCTGATTCGAACCAGTTGTGCACGATCTGTTCGGGCGAGCTCATGTCCGAGGATGTCGGGACGAGCGTCCTCTGCGGAGACGACAGCGAGATGATGCTCAAGTAAATACATTCACTAGTTTTTTCTTTTCCTTCCCTACTTATTCTAGCTACGCCCGGAGTAGGTGAGCTCACGGGTTATGTGGTTACAAGTGTCCATAGACATCTACAACGTAAATGCCGCCATCCAACTTGAGACAAGAGTTTTAAGGTCGCAGTATCAGTTACAACGGCTGCCCCACCCTTCAAACCGAAACGCATTACTGCTTCGCGGCAGAAACAGGCAGGGCGGTGGTACCTATCCGTGCGAACTCATAACACGACCTACCACCAGTAAAACACGGAAAGACACATATGAAAAGTACAGTAAAATCAATAGAAGCATGAATAAAACGTTTTTGTTTTTTTTTAGAATAAAATTCATGTCCCACGACACTGGCTGGTCTGGTGATATACCATTGAAGGAATGCCCCAAAGAAAACGTACCCTGGCTCGTCAAAGGTACGTTCTATTTTAGAAGAAATTTACAATGATAATAATTGACCGTCTGGTGTACTTGTAAGTGACATGGTCACTACACAAGGGGGTCGTAGGCTCGAATCCTGCCAAGGGAAGATATTTGTATGATAAATCTAAAATGTCTTTTCCAGGGTTATGGATGTATATTATATATATGTATGTGCATAATAAAGTTTCTTACATTTATTTCCGTTATCCGGTACCTGTAACACAAGTTCTTTATAAACTTAGCACGGGACCAGTTAACGTGGCGTGATCGTTAGTAAATATAAAAAATATATAAATATATAATCGAAGAAATGAGTGGATGAAGGGGATATGATACAATTTGTTGTTAATTTTACTTGTTATTAAAACTTTGATATCTTGAAGTGTTCTAAAATAGCACTTCGGTAGAATAACATCATCTATATTAATACAAATACTATTATTTTACTAATCTCGCACTCCATTTACAAATACTTTAACAACCGTAATGTTTATACAACACCAATCCTAAATAATAGGTTGGGGAAAAGTCTTTTCGCATTATAGTGTGTATGAACCTGTAATAAAATCTCTTTGGCTATACTATTTGTATCTGGCTGGTTTTGGTATTATCAAAAGTTTAAATTGTAAAGAAGTTAATTCCAAATTCAAGTTAGGAAAATATGTGATTTTTATTTATTTTTCGTACTGTCAAGATGAGTGAATCTAATGAAGAAATTCCCTTTGTCGAAATCTTCTCGTTCGAAAGACCACTTCGTCGCAAGCGACGGGTTCAACGAAGACGGTGACCGGTGCTTGTGGTACCTAAAAGCACCGTTAATGGAAACCAAGCAGCCTTTCACCTCTCGATATATATTAAGATTTGGCTAAAGTGTTTTTATTTTATTATGATCGTAGTACCGAGTCAAGGCAACGTGCCCTATATGGCGGTCTGGTGCAGAGTGGTGAAGGCTCGCAGCGACGGTCGCATATTAGCTACAGTGTGGCCGCTGTACGTTCTCAAGTCGCACCTGCCTCTCGACACCGATGTAAGTACAACACCTAAGCCTTTATCGCACATTAGCAATTCACCACAGAGCCTTGAACGTTGTGGTGCTCGATTCGGAAAGGTACAACTGTCGATAGATTTAGTTTTATATCGAATATTAGAATCAAAAAATCAAACCAGCAAAAGTATAATGTGTGTAATTACTGACGGTACGTGTGACGGTAGTCATCACACAAGGTTTTTGACTGATGCCTGAATTTCGCTTACGACATTTTCAAGATAAGCTTGTATATATACCTACAAGTTCCGAACAACAACATTCAGACCGTCGGTTTACCGAGCAATATCGCCCGCTCGGTGAAAATCTTCCTTTAGTCGTTATACCTACAGTACGTGTAAATCCGCACGGGTAGGTACCACCACCATGCCTATTTCTGCCGTGAAGCAGTAATGCGTTGCGGCTTGAAGGGTAGGACAGTCGTTGTACTGTAAACTCTCTTGTCTCAAGTTGGGTGGCGGCATTTACGTTGTTAATGTCTGTGGGCTCCGGTAACCACTCAACACCAGTGGGTCGTTATTTCGTTCACCCATCTAAGCAATAAAAAATTAAAAAAAGTTCCGTTAAACATATTTTTCCTCATACCTTGCAAATTTTGCTGTTTCATTTAAACGTCCATGCACAATTTATTATTTCCTAAAGCTAAATTCTTGGTTTTGTTTCATAATTTAAATGACTGTTCATAAATTTTGGTATGTACCTCCGAATATAATAGTCATAATCATCATCATCATAGTCTTTTGGCAGAACAGTCGTGGTCATGTGGAATCTTGATTTATTAAAGCATTAACAGCTGTTCTCCATAGTTCGCGAGCTGACAGTCGTGATCATGTGGAATCCTGATTTATTAAAACCTTGACAGTTGTTCTCCGTAGTTCGCAAACTGAGGGCTAGCGCACGCACTCGGTAAGTGGGGTGCTGGTAACAAATTTCATATAACCCAGCCATAGAGCTTCGTCCACGAAATATTTTACCATTGACCCTACCCTGAACAATAAGTTTGTCGATAAACTCTGAATACAATAAATGTTTTTGTTGTAGGTTTTAATTAGAACCGAATCCGGTATATCAGTGTCAGAAGCATGTCCGGAGCCGACATCCGCTCCTCTAGTGCAGTCCGCGCCGGGACGCGGCACTAGTGTACATTTACTGGCACCGGGAACTACGTCAGCAAGGCACAATCTGCTCTTCCAATACAGGTCTGTAATGGAGAGTGTAGTCCTCTCGACCATGCTTCCCTTGCGCTATGACATGCCCTACTTAAAAAAAGGGTGGTGAGTACTCAACGGTAATCAGCGGTTTGGCTCTGCCCCTGACATCGCTGACGTCCATGAGCGACGGTAACCAGTCACCATCAGTGGGGCCGTATGCTCATCTGCCTATAACTGAAATAAGAAAAGTTACTATTGATATCTCCATTGTCTGAATTAGTCGACTGAATGATTTCCAGTCAACGATAACTGGTCTAGTGATCGGACAAACCTTTTTATTGTAGACCACAAATAAATGCAGTGCGTATCAACTAATGTACTTTAATGTAACTGTCAATCCCACTAAAAAAAAGTTATTACTTTTATGTTCATACATTACTAAAAGCGTAACAATAGGTCGCGATGAAAAGTCATGTTTAATAATCAATACGATAGTAATTTCAACCCTGAAGTTAAATGAACTCGATTGGGGCCATTGAATAGGGTTGTACCAATCGATTACATTATTGTCCCACAGGAATATAGAATGTCCAGTGACAAGAGACGCGGTCCCGCTTCACTACGGCGTGCCGGACACTTCTGTGTTCGAGAAACGTGGGCCGGTCTCTAATGTCGATCACGTCATCGATGAGATCATTAAATGGTGAGATGTTATCATGATGATGTCATGGCGAAGGTGGATTTCGATTTATCTAACTAGTCGCTTCGGGTAATACTTGAATTGAAGTTAGTAGTTTAAAAGAGATCCGCAATAAATATTCTGCTCTCTAATCGATACATCGAAGATGATCTACGATCTACTCTAGTCATCCAATGCCATCGTCGCTCCGTCTGTTCAAGAAATAGATACTCTAGTTCGTTTACGCAAATTTACCATGCAGCCAAGAGGCTATGAGTTGGTTGGTTTTTAGGATTCCCTAAAGTTTTTTTTCTTTTTTTTTCTCTGCCTAATTGTTAGTAGTCTAAGAGGCTATTCCACCTACGCCCGGGCGGATAGGGGGGCTCACGGGCTCAACCTTTGCAAGAGCAGTGCTTCGCTAAATCAACCATCGGATCGGAATTGCAAAATAGCACTGCAAATTTAGTACATTAATAGACAGTAATTTTATATGTTGGCTTTTTACTTTCATTATAAAAATCCTATTCTACAGTTCTTGTCTTTAGTGTACAATCATAGATGTTAATTTTTTTTACCATTTAATAAACCTCTAAACTTATATCTAATTTATATTAGTTGAGATTCAGTTGCAGAACAAAATCACTTTTGTTCGCTTAAGGTCAAGATCATTACTATCCTGCATCGGGTCGCGATTCCGATCCGGTAGTAGATTCATTCGCGAAGCAATTGCTCTTGAGTTGTTAGGTCTCCTTCGGAGGCGCTCGGGCAGTTGTTAGCAAATCCCGCCCCTCTTGGCTGAGCCTTTGCTCGCCCACCTGTCCTGGTGAAACTGGAAAGGCCTACGGGCCACCAGTAAACTATCAAACATAAAAAAAAAAACGATCAAAAGAGCGCAAAAGTTTTTATCGACATTCCAGGCTCGATGATTCTGGTCGGAAAGCTCGATCGGACTGGCCCTACTCTATCGTGTCGAAGCAGTGGTGCGGACTGTGGCAGCCGGCTTTACTACAACCACGATCTGACGTCACTGTGAGTATGTTAATAATAATAGTTTGTTATTTGCAAAACAAGGTTGTATTCAAAACAGGAAGAGACTTTTTTATTGCTTAGATTGGTGGTTACTGGAGCCCATAGACATTTACAACGTAAATGCGCTACCCACCCACCTTGAGATATTAGTTCTAAGGTCTCAATATAGTTACGACGGCTACCCCACCTTTCAAGCTGAAACGCATTACTGCTTCACGGCAGAAATAGGCAGGGTGGTGGTACGTAACCAGTAAATTATGGTTATTTTTTTTTCATTTTCATCAGGTCCGTTACCAAGCCGTCCGCGCGGGTGGTGGCTGCTGTCTCGAGCTGCAGCTATCCCCGGTGGTGCTGCTCTGCAACGCGGCCCCGATAGCACTAACGCTGCGAGCTTACGACGCGGCGCCCCTGTGCAAGCTCGAACCGGGAACGGTTATCGCACCGCCGTCCACTGTTGTCAAGGTGCCTACCACACATTGTACCAACCACATAAACGAGCTACAGTAGAATTGTCGTAATCTTTAAATTAATACGTGAAGCAAAAACTGTATCCCGTCATAACAAAATTGCGCGGACGGAGCAGTATGAAATTTCTCACACTTATAGAGGATATAGAGGATGCAGAAAGCAATTTTTTTTTAAATTCATTTATTGAAATTACTTTACTGCCATTTATTATACGTTGAGGATTTTATTATTATTTTTAATTGTATAGAAGGGTGGACGAGCTCACGGCCCACCTAGTGTTAAGTGGTTATCAAAGCCCATAGACATCTACAACACAAATTTGAGATATGAGTTCTAAGGTCTCAGTATAGTTACAACAGCTGTACGGTGGTTAAGACCTGCGCGTGCTGACAAGACGTCCTACTGCCAGTAAAAGTTGATATGGATTGCTTAACCAGGATATTGTGTCAAAGGTTTTTCGCGAAGTGCCTAAGACTAATGCTTATGAAAAAAAATTTGGCTTTTATTTATTTGACTATCTCAATATCGTTCGAGTACGAATAATTAACGAACATCATTTTTAATGTCCCCACCTAATTATTTTATTACCTTTGTTATTATAGTTATCACGATAGACATAGTAATTTGTATAATTTTGAAAATATCGATTTTTTTCGATTCGTATAAATACGTCACTAAAGTAAATACTTTTTACTTTTACAAATAGAAACCTTTCTTCATGTCCGTGGAAATGGGCCGCGAGACGTTTGTTAGCGGCCAGCTGCAGGTCTCCAACGAGGACCCGGGTCGCTACGGAGCCCCGCCTCCGGGGCAGGTGGCCCTCGATCACTCGTTAGAATTCGCCATACAATGCAACCAAAAGGTACGCTCAATTTTTGTATGACGTTGTAGAGATATACGACAATGGGAAGATCTTCCACTGAGTGGGCGATATTGTTCAGTAGACCGACGACCCAAATGCTTTTCTTACCTATGCTGATAGCCTTAAAAGGCTATTTCAGTTTCACCCTAACGTGTGTAGGTGAGCTTACGGGGCTCAAACTGGAGTGATGCTAACACTGACCCTAGCAAGAGCAGCACTTCGCAGAATCTACCACCGGATCGAAAACGCGACCCACTGATAAGATCCGGCGAGGAACTCAGTGGGCTGGGTCTATCGGTTAATTCGCTCGTCGAGCCCTTTGTCGCAAGCGACGGGTTCGACGAGAACGGTGACCGGTGCTTAAAGTACCTAAAAGCACCGTTAGTGGATCGGGAGGATCCGAGATGACGTGTTTTGGGCGACGTCGACTGCTTTCCATTCTGTCCGCAGGATCGGGAATGAGTAACTTGCATTTTGGGCTAAATGAATTTGTACCTTATTATATTGTACATATGGCTCTAGTACGAAATTGGGTTTTTCAAGTTTCGACAATTCCGCTTTCTTCCCTCGATATATTCAATCGATCTCAGGTCATGAGGTTGCAGTTCAAACTTGATACAATTTTTTGGCGGGAACGCGAGGAGTGTAGTTGTGTGATTTGTTTTATTTTGTCTTATTAGTGTTTCTTCAGGTTTAAAGGTGTAATAACGGTGGTTTATTAACTGTTTAATATCTGTGAAAGTGCACAGATGTGAGCAAATGAAACAAAGCCGCTGGACGTAACTTCTCGAGATCCTCCATTACGTCCATTGAAAAAATCTCTGTAAATGACCACCACCATTTACTGAGATTATATTTCATCCCATATCATCTCATTTCATTTCATTTAATTTCAATCCAGTTGATTGATGTCTCAAATTAATCATATTCATTTCATTTCACTCCATATTATCATTTTCCATAAAAATAAGAATATAAATTAAAATAAGACATGACTTAAAGGTCGTAGTTACTAGGTCATAAAATCCCTTAAATAAATCAAACTTGTTACCTAGAAGTAAATATTGTATACAAACTTGATTGATTTTTCTTTTATTAATTTTCACATAATTCCGCCAGGTGGCGCTCATGACAATGTACTATCAACTCATAAAAGAAATAAACGTACTCGGCGTCAACTCGACCTACGAACTTCTCAACAGATTGGATACAAAAGTTATGGTGAGATTCGACTTGATAATACCTCATAACAACTTAATCTAGCGTTTGTTATTATCCTTTATATTATTTTCAAGGTTTTGAATTAACAGATTAATTCACTTTACGAAGTGCTAATTTTTGTGTTACTAGGCATGAAAACTATGATATATTTGTTATGCAAAGAATACAGATTGATGTAAATATCTCTAAATGATTTTGTGTGGGTCGCCATCCGTTTCTACTGCAATGGAATTGAACGCAGTTACATTGTTGAAGAGATACCTGTATGGTAGGCAGGCCTTGTCTATATTTGTGGCGTTGTCGATGCTCATGAGCGAAAGCCAATGTAGGCAATCAACAAACTTTAAGTAACTTTACCATAAAAACATTCAACCAAAAAGAAATGTTACAATCCTAGTAAAAAACCTTTAACTAATATGTAGCGTACGTAGATAGCCGCGAATGTTTGAAACATTTCGTAATTAAAAACTAGTTTGTGGATTAATCAAATTATATTTTATTTACTCAAAATATATATAAAATATGCAGGTCTCCGCCATTGCTGTGCCGAAAGAGGTCGAAAATGACGTAGCGCTAATGCCGAAGACATTCAAACTAGCAGATCCGACCAAAAGGTGCGTGCATGGGCTGCTTTATACAAATAGTCGATTTATTTACTTACTGACCGGGTGGTGTAGTAGCTAGAACTCCAGACCGTTGCGCCGGGGTTATAGGTTCGATTCCCGTATCGGGCAAACATTCGTGTGATGAATTCCTTAGCATCATCATCATTCTCCTGCCCTTCTCCCAGTCACGTGGCATCGGTGCAACTAGTTTTCTCCTTCCATACTCCTCTATCATATACCATTTCTTCGCTCACTCCCCTCTTACACATATCGTCTTGAACACAATCCATCCTTTTTTTCTTAGGTCTACCTCTTCCTCATTCCTTAATCACCAAATAACCGCTCTAGTGACTCTTAGGGAGAGAAAAAATAGGCTTAACTTTCACCATTTCAAATAACAATAAACTTCTAGTTATTGACTATGAAAGCAACAAATAACAATAGAATTACTAGTATAATTTATTTATTTTATTTATTTATTACATTTTATGTAAAATTTACATTGGCGGACTTCAATGCCTAAGGCATTCTCTACCAGTCGACCAAAGGTAGTGCAGAGTAAATAGTGGTAGGTGCAATGAAATTTATATTAAGTTACAAATACATACACAAAAAAGTACATATCGACGCTTGAAAGGCAAACGTGACTAAGCGACAATAACTGCTTTATACATAAATGAGACGCAATAACCATATTCGATACGCAAAAAATATATATATTTCTAGGTCTGTTAAAATTATTTAAACCCAATATAGCTAGATTTGTTAAAATATAAAATTTTTCAGGTATTTGAACTTTAAATTAGTCTACTGTAAAGTTCACGCATTGTCGCTTAGTCACGTTTGCCTTTCAAGCGTCGATATATACATACATATATACACAATCACACATACATATACATATACACATCATACATATATACATACATACATATAATTTAGTGGTTTCAGAATATTTTGAATTCGCGTACACTGTTTTAGCGTCCACGGATTGCAACTGTGCCGCTTCTGGCTGCAAGGCCGTTGGCGCGGCGGCGACCCATCCGAGCTCCGGCTGTACCTGTGTCTCGCTTTACCTTCCGGGCATTACCCTGCTCACACGCCGGTCCCGGTCAGGCTCGGAGCTGCGCCCCTGAGACGTTCGGTCGCACTCATTGATGCTAACAGAGAGTCGGTATGTGTTAATGTCTATGAATTTTATTTGTACATTGTGACGATGATCATTAGGAACAATATGTTTACCATAGCATACCATACTTAACAATATGTTTAAAATAGTGGCACCCAACAATGCGGACTAGTTACATTTTACGACGTTGTTGTTGATTTGTTTATTTATACCATTACTTGCATACGATTTTTTTTCTTTTTTTGATGTGAAACATCTATAGCCGCACGTAAAACCGATTTCTGGCGTGGCGACGCATGCAGTGGGGACGCGTCGCCATGCGCAATCGACTGTGCGATTCTCTCCCACTCGATCCGATGTTAAGCCATCTCTCTCGCTACACTGAGCTCGGATACCTATGGTGTATACTCTGTAGTGTATACAGTGTACTGTATACTACAGTACACGTAACCTGTGTTTTACTTGAAAACAAATTATTTTTTCGTAATATTTTAGTTTATCATTATGACATATTTAGTTCCTATCACAATTTGTTCTTTTCTGCATATTACTTTTACAAAATAATGTCGATGTTTCACATCTGCCAGGCGTCCCGTGACGGCTCACATTTTTTTTTTCCTCTAAGTTTTAATATTGTTATCTTATTCACAACCGCTCTTATGTAAGTTGTGTTCACATGCAAAAGGGTGAATTCTATAATGTATTATTTTTTTCTAAATAAGTTCAATGTTTATGTATACAGATTTTATCAAATTGCGTAAACAAGAAAATAATGAATTCATATGTCGATTGTTATTGCCGTTGTAGATTTCGTAGCCTTTCTTACTGTCGTCCATGGACATCAGCAATACCGTTACGTGTGTGACAAGATGTGTTAACAATAATGATGTGTAACAGGTCCCGATAGTGATCACGCAAATAAAACACGAAGACAGATGGATGATCTCGGTGGCACGCGACCGCTGCCCGCAGTTCGTCGTGCACAACCGCACGAGGCATACTTTAGCTGTGGCGCAACCCATGATGTCGCCAGAGGAACCCTCCACGTCCGCAGTACCGGTAACACTACTTGAGACCTTATAACCTTATATCCTGATCCTTATAACCTTATATGACCTTATATCTCAAGGTGGGTGACGCATTTACGTCGTAGATGTCTATGGGCTCCAGTAACCATTTAACACCAGGTGGGCCGTGAGCTCATCCACCGATATAAGCAATAAAAAAAAGTATCTGAAGCTTTTATTCCGTAGTCCGTAATCGCTCAGTAAGTCGAAATTCGGCTATAATTATTGATCTTAATATATATTAATTACGTGTCACGTTGTTTGTCCGCTATGGAAACCTAAGCTACTGAACTAAAAAATAGAAAGTAAATATTAATAAATTTGAATTAAAAAGAGTGTAAGAAAAAATGATTTTATTGTAAAAAAAGCGTAGGGTGCATGGTATCAGTAGTTATAATAAAAGCGTATTTTGTTAGTTTTTTTAAACTATTATTTATTTTTGTTGTATTTACTTCGGGAATCGTCTCGGTTAAACTATACATTCCTTTTTTACGATTGAAAGACTACTGGTGGTGCGGAGGCCTTTCGAGTTTCCTTTTCAGCCTCCAAGCGAGGGCGAGCACGGGCTCAGCCAGGTTTTGTGGTTTTTGCTAACAGCTCCCCAAGCGCCTCCAAAGGAGACCTAACAACTCAAGAGCCGCTGCTTCGCAAATGACACACTATATAACAGCCGGCAAACTTCTTGAGCATTTGTTGACGTAGTGGGGGTAAGTTTGCGCATGGTACACTCACATGCAAAAACATTATTTACTCTGCGTCATAATGCAATTAAATTATTAAAATCAACATATGTATTTATTTATATATTTATTAGAACATCAACAAAAAATATAGGTTAATAATTATAATAATTTAATCTTGGGGTAAGATAGATATTCCTTCTATTAAGTCAAAACTAGAGCTGTTGCCAGGTCTTCGTTCAGTTGAAGCGAAGCTGGTATTTGTAATTTTTTTTCGTTATCATAATCTTGACCATTATCATCATCACTGTTTTCATCATCCGAGTCGCCATCATCGTGATAAGTCGACATAGGGCTCATCGGTGTAGTTTACGACTCGGTCGGTTCGATCTTCTTTTTTGTCTATAATTAATTATTTTTTGAAGATATTCGATTCGTAGTAATCGAATGTTACTTTTTTCAATTACCAGCTTCCGATTATTTTCTGTTTTTTTTTTTCCATCTGAAGCCTAGCTCTTTCATAATTCGTCGTAAACTTCATTCCGAGCCATTAAAATGTATATCTTCTTTAAAATTTTCGAAGCCTTTCTACGGTACGGAGTTTCGCTGCTTGTTATGTAGTTATTATGATTACATCTTTTTATTACAGATTGAACGAAACTATCCATTCCGGTAACTTTCTTCTTCCCTGATCTTTTCTTACCCGGAGTCCCAAGCACGATGAGCAAGCCAGAGCCTTTAGCTTCGTTAATAATGCACCTAACAGTACTCACTGATGTTTTTGTTGCTTCCGAAGTCTGTTTTACTTTTTCCATAATATCATTCTTCCCCTGTTTTATAATGAAGCAATATACGTCGTACACAATTTTTCTACCCTTTCTTTTGAATACTACACCAGTTTGTCGCGGCATAGTGTATTTTTTATAAAAAATCAACAAACTTTCAACAAATAGCAATGGCAACAAAGTCCACAAGCAATTATAACAAATAACTTAACGATTAATAACGATAGACTTTCCACTGTACGCAAGCGTACTTTTGGGAGCAAGCGGAACGAGGGTGCGGTGTGGGACGCAAGGTTCGATTGATCTACCAATAACGCGCTCGATACGATTTCCCCTGCCGTCGCGCCTCACCCTCACCACCAAAGTGATCTAAAATTCGGTTCTGCGCAGTCAAGGTCATTTGCTCACGATGTTCGCCGGTTACTATACACGTTTTGTTCTGAAGTATATGTTCGTTTTGTCGTCAGGTGATGTCGGAATGTTCGGGCGCGGGGTGGTGGTGTATCGCTCATCCCCAAGCGGTGACGCACTACACGACCCCCTCGCACAACAATCGCTACCCTCCGCCGGCTAACACTTTTGACTCCAAGCCGGAAATTCCATTCCTTACCTTCACTATAGTGCACGGTTAGTATAGTAATAGTATATCGACGCTTGAAAGGCAAACGTGACTAAGCGACAATGCGTGAACTTTACAATAGACTAATTTAAAGTTGAAATTAATTTAAAATATACATGAAAAATACCTGAAAAAAAATTTATTTTAACGAATCTATCTGTAGGATTGAAATGACTGTAATAGACCTAGAAATATATATTTCGAATATGGTTATTGCCTATCATTTATGTACAAAGCAGTTATTGTCGCTTAGTCACGTTTGCCTTTCAAGCGTCGATATCATTGTTCCTATCTGCAATAATAATGTTAACAAAATAAATGATTTTTTCAGTTAGTCTTTTTAATTGCGTCGGGTTTTCGTTTCGCTTAATATGTTTATTTTCAAAGTGTTGCTGGCCGATTTTTGGTGCGACCACTAAGAATTGGATATTCCCATCTGAAGATTACCTGAAAATTGCATTGGATTCGGTCTCGCCAAGTCTATAAGGAACAAACATGCTCACATCGACTTTTATATTATGCTATGTACACACATGAATCGTCATTACACAAATAAACTTAACATGCTTCGAAAGACGTCTCAAAATGACAATCGAGATTCAATTACAGATGTTTCTTCTTTTGAAGTGTCATAGTGACGTTTTATACGTCGACTTATAACAGTTATCCAACAACATTGAGGAAACAGTTGACTATACCTAATCTTAGTTAACTAAGCAGCATCGCCGATATATACAGAGTTACAGGTTATGTCGACCTATCTCCGTTAAGGGCGTGTAGCTTACACCCTATCGTAAATCTAACCGATTTAGATATATTGGAATTTAATTGTTTTTTTATAAAAAAAATACCGGATTTTCGGCTTAGATATTTTGAAATGCGTGTCTTATTATTATCACTTGATTTTTACTTGTAAAATAAGATACTGTATGATCCCAATAACCAATATTGTACGTAAAATGAATAAATAAGTCGTTGTAGACGATTAAAACTTATAAAAACTAATCTAATATTATAAAAAAATTAATCACCCTATTCGCCTCTATGATGGCTGACGATGGTCTTAATAATACGGTTTCACCGACACTGGGCAATGTTCAGTTAATTCCGTAATTTATAATTGTAATGATCGGTTGAGTTATCCGCTTCAGATGACGGCAACAAGGAGTGGTGTCAGCCGGCTGCGATGACGGATGGCGAGCAACTCGTGCAGCTGCCCGACAACGTAACGATAAAGCTGCGAGTGCACGCGCACCCGCACTCAACGCACATCGAACTGCAGAACGTCGATCAGGTTTTGTTTTTTAATGATTAAGCTTTACTGGTGGCCCGGAGGCCTTTCCAGTTTCACAAGGACAGGTGGGCGAGTAAAGGCTCAGCCAGAAGGGAAACTTAACAACTTAAGAGTAGCTGCTTCTCGAATGAATTTACTACCGGATCGGAATCGCGACCCGCTGAGGAGATCCGGCGAGAAACTCAGCAGGCTGATGTTTAGATTGGGTTGCATGTCGAACTCTTTGTCGAGTTCGACGAGTACGGTTACAGGGGTCCCTACTCCTAATGTTAGAGCGGAAGGCGTCTAATGCAAGGATTATTGGATCTGATAGATCCGTAAGGACGTGTCGATCGGGTACTGCTGTCATGTTTAAACTACCTTTGGAGAGGCTAAAAGATACCAAATATAAGCCGCGATCTGGCTATGCCCCTACCCGTGAGAGACGGTAATCACTCACCGTCTAGTGGGTCTTTTTTTTTATATTGCTTATATAGTTGGACGAGCTCACGGCCCACCCAGGTGCTAAGTGGTTACTGGAGCCCATAGCCCATAGACATCTACGACGTAAATGCGCCACCCACCTTGAGATATAAGTTCTAAGGTCTCAAGTATAGTTACAACGGCTACCCCACCCTTCAAACCGAAACGCATTACTGCTTCACCGCAGGCAGAGTGGTGGTACCTACTCGTGCGAACTCAGAAGACATCCTACCATATAATTACGCAAATTATAACTTTGCGGGTTTTTATTGCACGGTGTTATTTCTTCACCGTGGAAGTCAATCGAGAATCGAAAATTTGTTAAGTACGTATTTGATTAGAAAAATTGGTACCCGCCTGCGGGATTCGAACATCGGTGCATCGCTGCTACATACGAATGCACCGGACGTCTTATCCTTTAGGCCACGACGACTTCAAAACGTATACACGTCTGCCAAAAAAGGCAAAAAAATGCATACTATGCTACGTATTGGTGTAAATATTCTATATAATTGTGAATGTGCGATCAAAAAAACCCGCTTAAACTTTATTTAATTATATTAAAAACGTTTTCATATTAACTACCGTAAAAATAAAAACTGTAAGTATTGTATTAACTTTCAATATTAATTTTACTGAATTGTTTTATAAAATTTATAAGGTTAAGCTCATAGACATCACAAGGTGAATGCCACCCGCTTTGAGACATGTGGCCTAAATTTTAGTTATAGCACAATTACTCCCACCCCGTTAATTACTATTAACCATTAGGGGTTGGCTTGAAGGTTTTAATTTTGGAACATATATTTATCTATTTAGTTTACCTATTTAGAAGAGAGGGGAAGAGGTTGAACGAAGAAGACATGGATGGAGTGTGTGAATGACGATATGAGAGAGAGAGGTGTGAGTATTGAGCTGACGGCTGATAGAAGAGAATGGAAGAGAAAAATTAGCTGTGCCTACCCCACCTAGTGGGATAAGATGAAGGAAGAGAAGTGATTTATCTATTTAACTATTCTAACTATTGGCGGATTTGTTGACAGGACGATATATCGGCCAGCGATATCCGTCGTCGTTTGTTCGGTGCGTTCGCAACACACATATCGCACGAGTCACTAATCGACACCGTAAGTCTAAAGTATTAAGATTCGATCTAATAATTTATATGAATTGTTTTAACCAAAACATTCTTTTTTTATATTACAGGGCGAATTGTCTGTACCACAGAGTTTAGATCGACTGGGTGGTCATGTGAAATGTATGTGTGTTATTTTTTTAAAATTTTCTTTTGTCTTTATTTTAATTTGGAATTCAAAGTTTTCTGGCCTCGTCAATGATGCAGTATCGAGATTATTTTTCGTATAAAAGGTGCTGCATACATCAACAGTTCAAAAAGTAATTAATATCTTTGGATTTAATGTAGTAGAATTATGAACATTTTTCGGTTTTTCAGTTCATTAAAGAAATGCAACTTCTGCCGTGCTCAATTTATTCAAAGTATTTAATATAAAAGTCACTTATTAATTGAACAATAAATAACGTTATTCTTAAGAACAATAAAGAAGAGGTTTGACATTAATAGTAGTAAGTCATAATTATCGAACAACGACATCTAGTAGCCGCGAGATGTAACCCTTCGTTCCATCACCACCAAATCCAATTTATTAATTAATTGTTTAAAAAACTGAAAATGTATTGTGTGTCAATTAAAATAATCTAAGATTTGGAATAATTATGTAATATTAACTATTTTTCGTCCAGTACTCCATCAGAACGTTGCTCACGAGGAGTCTGGAGAGTCCTCGCCGATACCGTGGGCGAACGAACACGCCATCTGTGGTCCTCAGGGGAGAAACCCCATAGCAGTAGCGGCGGTTACCGTGGAGCACTGCCAAGAGAGTCCCGACGCCGCGGAACTATCCTCTGCAGGTAATATAAAAATATGTCTTGACTTGTAAATAGCCTGTACCAGGGGTGGCCAAATTCATTAGAACCAAGATCTACTGTGTACTGACGAAACACTGCGATCTACCAATTACCTTTCTTGAATTTTAATGGAACAATGTAGTTCAGTATACAAATAAGTAGCATATTTTCTTTTATTAAAAATATTAAAATAAACCTGAAATTATATAATAAAAGAATTATTGTGTAGAAGAGAGGATAAATAATATGACTTAATGATCATTAACAAATGGTACAAGATGAAGATGATGCGTGCAGCAATTGGTGATTACATTGCGCAGTCTGTTCTATGTGTTTATATATTTTGTCTTGCCACGATCGACTGAATTAATAGCCACGATCGACCGGTCTTATACGAATAGATGCGATTCTTTAAGGCACGTCGAAACATCGGCTAGACCCACCGGGAATGAGAGAGATCCTTATCAGAAATCGTTTATACAGTATAGATTATTGTAAAACTGTGAAAGAAGTGTTTTTGTCCGTTGACGGTATCACATATTTATGACTGCCGAAGATGTAACAGCGCAATGTGAGTGAGAGTGAATTTTCATTCCATCGGCTCTTTAGACTTCGCTCGTAACTTCCTTTAGGAGATATGACTTGTTTTATTTATTCACGCATAATGTTTGTTAAATATGGTTCATTAACATTGACAATAGCACGTCGAGGGCTGCGTTGAAATGTTTTTTTCTTAGTATATTACAGAAAACGCAATTAAACATTTTATTGTTCATTCGTTCTGGAATATTCTATATTGCCGGCGCTGAGTGATAATCAATATTAGCTTTATAAAATTTTATTGTTGTTCTAATGTATTTCTTAATTTATATTTTGATACAGTTGAGAATCCAAGTCATTTGGAAGAAAAAATACACTTTGAAATAAGTTCACCTGAAGTATCAATCAACATTACTCCCGAGAAAAATGATGCCGGTATTTTTGAAGCAACTACATAATTATGTATCGTTATTAGTAATTAAAATACAATAATATCTGAAGCTTAGTATTAGTGTTTATGGTAGTATTTTTTAAAAAAAAGGAAAAATTCTGATTATTAAGCTTTAGTGTACAGAATTTGTTTGATCTTGTTATAATTTTAGACTACCAAGCTTAAACACGAAATGTACGGAATAGCGAAAGGAAATGCTTCATCGTTCAGTTACAAAACGAAAACTCTTTGTATTGTATTTGTATTGTACGAGTAGTAGATCCAAGTCTGCAGTTCGCTGTAGCACGTAGGTGGGCAGGATCGACCGGTGAAACACTACCCTCTCACAGAAAATCAGCGTGAAGTGGGGGCCTCCTAGAGGCCACCGCGTTTCGACTGGTGAGTGAGAGTCCCGGCGCCCTTATCCCTCTACCTCGGGGCCCAAATAGCAACTGGCACTTTCATTATACTACACGTATCGCAACAGATTTTCTAGGGACTGTTGCGTTGCGTGTGGGAATGAGTATCAGTTGGCCCCTTCCTGTCTTTTTATTCCCTGTCCCACAATTCCTCACCCTCTGTGACCTTTCTCCTTCCCTTTCCTTCCCCACCCCTTATGCTATTTTTGATTTTTGTGATGGCGACGAGTGATACAAATAAAATACCCCAGGAGGGTACCAGTCTCTTAGAGACTGGAGAATCCCTCTCTGAGCGAGAGCGAGAGATGCTATCCTCTCGCTCTGGCTCAGGCTGCCCATCGTATTCTGGGGGGGCACATCAAGCGTCGTTTATCACAGCTGCTGGGTGCAAACTGAGCCCAATAACGAGGAAGTCCCCCTCCACTTTAGCAGTGGATTTTTCTAACATCAGGGGACTTCACTCGAACTTAAATGCCGTCCACCACCATCTCGAGACGGAAAGGCCAGATTTGCTTTTCCTGACGGAGACGCAGATTTCCTCCCCAACTGACACTTCATATCTAAAGTACCCGGCCTATAGCCTGGAGCACATTTTTGTGCCACGCGCCGGCGTGTGTGTGTACATCAGGGAGGGAATTTGTTACCGTAGGCTCAGCAGTCTTGAAGGCAGAGACCTGTCGACCCTTTGGGTGCGCGTCGATTGTGAGGATCACATTCGCGTCTACGCGTGCCTTTACAGGTCTCATAGCGGAAATTCGGAAATTGACCGGCTCTTCGAGCACCTGCAGGTGTCCACTGACAGAATACTTGAGCAGATTCCTACCGCAGAAATTGTGGTTTTGGGCGACTTTAATGCCCACCACTCTGACTGGCTTGGGTCAACACGTACTGACCATGCGGGAAGGTCTGCTCACGATTTTGCCATTGCCAATGGTCTGACGCAGATGGTACCTTCTCCCACACGTGTGCCGGATGTGGAAGACCATTCGCCTTCCTTATTGGACCTTCTGCTGACCTCTCGCCCCGAACCCATTCGGGTATGGGTCGATGCTCCTCTCGGGTCATCGGACCATTGCCTAGTTCGGAGCGTGGTGCCTCTCACCGTCTCGTCACAACCACTTCCATCTGGTAGACGACGTGTTTGGCACTACAGGTCAGCAGACTGGAACGGGATGCGCTCTTTCTTTGCATCCTACCCATGGGGGCAGATTTGCTTCAAGTCAGAGGATCCTAGCACCTGCGCTGACTCGGTTGCCGGCGTCGTGCTGCAGGGCATGGAATTATTTGTTCCTAACTCAGCGGTGCCTGTCGGTGGCAGGTCTCGGCCCTGGTTTGGTGGGTCCTGCCGTGACGCACATCGTCGCAAGCGGGAATGCTACCAGGCTTGGGCTAGGGCAAAGGCCGCTAAGGATGTAAACTCTGACTCACTCAAGAAGAAGTACAACTCTGCTTCCAGGTTCTTTAAGAAGCAAATTGCATTGGCAAAATCAAATTACGTTGGGAGAATTGGCGAGAGACTGGCGCGCCTGCCATCTGGCTCTCGTGCGTTCTGGTCTCTCGCCAAGGCTGTCCAGGGTAATTTCTGTCGGTCGACGCTTCCACCTTTGCGCGGGGAGGATGGTTCATTGGCCTATTCCGCAAGGGAGAAAGCCGATCTTCTTGGCTCTATCTTTGCGGAAAACTCGACTCTTGACGACAGGGGGAACACTCCTCCTACCATCCCGAGGTGTGAAACCACAATGGCGGACGTCCGCTTCACACAGTGTGCTGTGCGGAAAGCACTATTCTCCCTGGATGTCAACAAGTCGAGTGGGCCCGATGGAATATCTCCTATTGTGCTGAAGGTGTGTGCTCCAGAGCTGGCACCGGTTTTAACGCGCTTATTCAGACACTCTTATGTCCTCGGCGTTGTCCCACATTCATGGAAGACGGCTCTAGTACACCCGATCCCTAAAAAAGGCGACCGCTCAGATCCGTCCAACTACAGGCCTATCGCTATCACCTCCTTACTCTCCAAAATTATGGAATCCATAATCAACCGCCAGCTCATGGGCTACCTGGAAGAGCACCAGCTGATCAGCGACCGCCAATATGGCTTCCGCAAAGGCCGATCAGCTGGTGATCTTTTGGCTTTACTAACTCACCGTTGGGCGCAGGCGGTTGAGAGTAGGGGTGAGGCACTAGGCGTTAGTTTGGACATTGCGAAAGCCTTCGATCGGGTTTGGCATAAAGCCTTACTATCGAAGCTTCCTTCCTATGGGCTTCCTGAGAGACTTTGTAGGTGGATCGGCAGTTTCCTTGCGGAACGGAGAGTTAAAGTCGTCGTAGACGGCTCATGCTCGGACCCCCGGACCGTAAATGCTGGTGTTCCCCAAGGCTGCGTGTTATCCCCGACATTGTTCATTCTGCATATCAATGATTTGTTGCATACCAGTGGCATTCATTGCTATGCGGATGACAGTACCGTGGATGCACTGTATTTCGGCCGCAGCAATATCTCCCGGGATCACGTCGATGAGTGTCGGAACAAACTTGTGTCTGAAATCGAATCATCCCTTGTGAAGATTTCCGATTGGGGGGGACTAAATCTAGTCCAGTTTAACCCTTCTAAGACTCAAGTTTGCGCGTTCACCGCTAAAAAAGCCCCCTTTGTCGCATCGCCACTCTTCGGTAACACTCACCTTTGTGCCAAGCCGAACATGGGCATTCTGGGCGTAGACATTTCGAGTGTTGTCCAGTTTGGCGGGCATTTGGAGAGCAAGGCTAAAATGGCCTCCAAAAAACTCGGAGTACTCAACAGGGCCAAACAGTACTTCAAGCCGGCTCACCGCCTTAAGCTGTTTAAGGCGCAGGTGCGGCCTCACATGGAGTATTGTTGCCACCTTTGGGCCGGGGCTCCGGGTTATCAGCTATCTTCCTTTGACCGAATCCAACGTAGGGCATCTCGGATTGTCGACGATCCTGAACTTGCCGATCGGCTAGATCCTTTGGCACTGCGTAGGGATCTATCTTCCCTATGCATACTTTACAGAATTTACAATGGGGAGTGTTCCGAGGAGTTGTTCAATTTAATAGAAGCCGCTGATTTTCGCAACCGATCGTCTCGTCGGAACTATCATCCGCACCATCTGGATGGTTGGCGTTCCACTACAATGCGTTTTAAAAACAGTTTTCTGCCACGCACAGTAAATCTCTGGAATTCGTTGCCATCAGCGGTTTTCCCCAACAACTGCGACATTGGGTTATTCAAGAAAAGAGCATATTCTTATCTGAAGGGTAGGCAACGCACTGGCGTAAACGCTGGTGACCGTGGGCGGCGGTGAATCACTTACCATCAGGTGACCCGTCTTGCTCGTTTGCCTCTCAGTTGTTATAAAAAAAAAAAATATATATATATTTTTTTTGTTACAAATTCAGAATAAATGGTCACCATTATGATGTCCTATCCGCGCGTAGCTGGAATAGCCTCTTATGCTACCAGTGATTAGGTAAAGGGATAAAAAGCATGATGACTGTGCAATAGTCGATTTCTGGGAATGGGTCCCTTAAAAATCTCGCCACAAAAAATGGTCCTCTTTAGTGGCGACTTACGACATCCGTCAGGCTGGTCTAACAGTTCATATCAAACCAATAACGAGTTAGAGTTGCGATTAGCTTTTACGAAGCTTTTGATTACATCTGAAGTTTTAAGCTCTATCATTAGGCACCTAGGCAGGCTAAAAATTCAGTGCACTTATCGAAATCTTTTTATATTTCTTGATGTAGAGTGAGCTAGTAGAATGTTTTGTATTTTGAAACATCAATATAATAATAGTGTCCTAGTATAGCGTATTGTAGATATCAAGCATACATATAAAAGTAGATTAAATTTGGTAAATTAACCAGTAATCGGTAAATGAATATCTTCAATTCAATCGTAGTAATCAGCCCTTAATTTTCATCTGCCCTACTGTGTTTGGATATTACCTTTTGTAATCGGACTGTAATCTGAGCATAATAGAAGTAAACAGGACACTATTATTTTCAGAATGGGATGAAAACGGCAGGATGTGGCCCCAAAACGAGCAGCTCCGTTGTGTTATCGCTGGAGTCATAGTGGAATTGGCCGCCGCTATGGATACTTTGCCGCTTATCGCGTTGCACGCGGATCGCGTGGCCGTACTGATTGTAGCCGACGCTAAGGTATTAGAATTCAGTTGGATTAACAATATAGCTATAACAATCGATGTGCTCATGGAATAATTGCACATTGAAAAAAGCCATTGCAGTATGTTTTTTAAGCTGCGATAGATATAGTGTTATATAAAAATGATTTACGATCCAAAACTCGTTTAAGTCATTTCTAGACTGCTCAAGATGAAAAGCATTTGATGGTATTTGCGTGTTACTTATACGTCTTTGGCCAACTACAAAATAATTAATTTTCAGTCGAACACAACTAAACATCACATTCGTAATGTAGATTATGAACTGAATCAGACTATAGCAATGATGAAAAACTACAAAAAAAAACGATTATTTTCAAACAGCGAACGAAAACGGCCATATCGATATCGAACGTGCAAATCGATAATCAACAATACGAAACGGGTCAGTACGACTTCGCGGTCGTCGCGTGCACCCGCGCGGACCCCTCGCCGAGCCCGGACGAGCGCCCGCCCCCGCTCTGGACCATGTTCTCTGCAGACGACGCGTTCGCGACCAAACACGAAAACGCACGGGTGCTTATCAAGATTCAACACGACAACTGGACTGTTTTGACACATACATTTAAAGGTTTGTATATACAGGATATGTTGGCAAAATTATTTTTTGAAGGTATTGTATGACCTGGTAACTAAGACCTTTAGTCAAGTCTAATTTTAATTGTAATGGAAACTTTTTTTATATGTACAATGTTATTATGAAATGAAATGAAATCGAAATGAGATGAGATGACATGGGATGAAATATAATCTCATAAAAAATGGTGGTCATTTACTGAGACCTCTTCAGTGGATTTTTTAAGGATCCCAAGAAGTTACGTTCAGCGGTTTTGTTTCATTTTCAAACATTTGTGCACTGTCACAGATACTAATCAGTTAATAAACCGCCGTTATTACACATTTCAACCTGAAAAAACTCTAAATAGATAAAATAAAACAAATCACACAATTTCACTCTTCGCGTTCCTGCCAAAAAGTCCCGTAGCCATACACGATGCGGGATGGACTTAGCTTGATTATGAATTCTCTCGAACACCGTCATAAACAGTTGTTGACATGTGTAACACTAAGGAAACCGTTAACTTTAACTATTTTTAGTTAACTAAATAGTGACGTTTTGACGATTTGGCTAATTTTAGTATTGAATTATTTGTGGAAGTCCAGGAAAGGTTTAAAAGGTTAAAATAAATATGCAAATGCTCGGAATGAAATAAAAAAGGCAATTTTGTTTTTCCTTCAATGTGTCCCCCGTTGGACGGATTCCTTTTGAATGTTTTAAGTTTATTTTATACAAAAGCTTAGTCTTTTATTTATCGATTGAGGCACTACGAAATTGGTGTACTACGAATACTGGTGGTAGGACCTCTTGTGAGTCCGCGCGGGTAGGTACCACCACCCTGCCTATTTCAGCCGTGAAGCAGTAATGCGTTTCGGTTTGAAGGGTGGGGCAGCCGTTGTAACTATACTGAGACCTTAGAACTTGTCTCAAGATGGGTGGCGCATTTACGTTGTAGATGTCTATGGGCTCCAGTAACCACTTAACACCAGGTGGGCTGTGAGCTCGTCCACCCATCTAAGCAATAAAAAAATAAAAATAAAAACAGCTGGGTCAGCTAGTAATGTAATAAAAATCTAAGAATTGTATATGTTTTTTTGTTGTTGTTGTACAGAACTAACGGAACTAGATTTCCACGTGGGTCCGCTGGCGCTATACATAGAGGACGCCTACGTCACTGCGCTCGTGGAACTATCTCGTTTGGCTCAGTCAAGTCCTGATGCGGTGACCGAAGCGGCCTCACTCCTAGCCGAAGAACGATCCCTACAAGTTCCCCTAAGGCTCAGACTACTGCACATAAGGCCACTGGATCTGACGCTAACTTTACACACAGCGGTGAGTGCTTGAGAAACTCCGTATTCAAGTAGAACAGTTGGTGCTTATATATAAAGATCAGTTTCGAGAAGATTACTCGGTATTTGTAACAACCACTTTCTTCTGACCCGTAGTGACACGTGTAACCGAATTTGTATAAGATCTACGAATTTCTAAATGTAATCATTGGTATACTTTTATATAAGACTTCAATATGTTTCGCATAAATATATACATAGAAATGACATTTAAAGTATATTTTCATTTCATTTCAATGCAGTTTGAACAGCGCCCCTAGCGGCAAACGTAGGCAATCTTTCCGACTTCATACAATTTTTTTTAACTTTTACGCTATCGAGAACGTTAAAAAACTCACTAAGCACACTTTTGACAAAACTTTTGAGAGACTTTTTGGCAAGAAAGTTGAGTGAAGTTGTGTGATTTGTTTTATTTTGTCTATGTAGTGTTTCTTCAGGCTTAAATGTGTAATAACAGTAGCTTATTAACTGTTTAGAATCTGTGAAAGTGCACAAATGTGGGAAAATGAAACAAAGCCGCCGAACGTAACTTCTCAGAATCCTTCAAAAAGTCCACTGAAAAATCTCAGTAAATGACCACCAATTTACTGAGATTATATTTAATCCCATATCATTTCATGCTATGTTTCATATTAATCACCTTCATTTTATTTTATAATATCGTTTTTCGTATAAAAAAGTTTTCATTAAAATTAAAATAAGACTCGATTGGTCTTGACTTGAATTGTCTTGACTTGGTATTAGGTAACAGGTCATAAAATCCCTTAAAAAAAGCACAAAGGTTGTCTGTGCGCGTAAAATGGAATGACAAGATTGAATTCGTCCCAGGTCCGGATGTACATAGCCCTAGATCAGAGTCCGTTACGACTGAGCGCGTTCGAGTTGCGGGACATGATGACGTCAACGGAACGATTGACGCACGCGCTCACCGTGCACTACTTGTCCGCCGCCATACTTGGAGCAGGTACGCATCTTCGGTGTCTCCAAACTGAACTCAATATTTTGAACACCTTTTTTTTTAAGCCTATGGTCTTGAGAGATCATTTCAACGTAGCCTAACTAATAGGTGAGCTCATGGGACTCAAACCTTATGTCGTTACCTTCGTTGACTAACCCTAGCAAGAGCCGTGGTTCGCAGAATCTACCATTGGATCGGAAACGCGACCAACTGAGAAGATCCGGCGAGAAACTCAGTGGGCTGTGTCTATCGGTTAATTTATTTGACGAGAACGATGACCGGTGCTTGATGTACCTAAAAGCACCGTTAATGGATCGGGAGGATCCGAAATGACGTGCGAACACCTTAAAACGTTGCAATAATTAAAATAGATAAAAAGTCAGTGGGAATACGTTTACCTTAATTTTTCCCCTGTCTATTCGCTGGTAGCATAAGAGGCTTTTCCAGCTACGGGTAGGTGAGCTCACGGGTTCAACCTGAGAGATTTACTAACACTAGCTCTAGCAAGAGTAGTGCTTCACAGAATCTTACCACCGGATCGGAAACGCGACCCACTGAGAAGATCCGGCGAGAAACTCAGTGGGCTGTGTCTGTGGTCCGTTTACTTAGCAGACTACTATGTAGTAATATAAGGTTTTATTTATTCTTAACAGTGTATCTCAGGCCCGAAGGTTGGTGTTGGCGTTGTGATATCAGTGTGGGACTGTTATCACTAATTACCACAGAAATCCTGCTGTAATTTATATTTTGATTTAATTCCAATATTGAAAACATCAAAGCAATAACTGATCGTCTCTATGATAGCACAACAATGAAAGCAATAGGGGTTTACCATTGCCATAATACATAGTTTAACATGTCAATCTTGAATCTAACAGATTCCACTTAATTTTTAAATTGCAATTTATGTTCTATAAAAATATCAAAAATTTACAGTAATGTTTTTTTGTTCAATTTCCGTTAGGGTGGGTAGTTGGAGGTCTAGAGTTGCTCGGTGCTCCCGGCGCCCTGGCGGCTCGTGTCGGCAGCGCCACGGGAGGAGTTCGAGGAGTGGCGTCAGCGGCTGTGGCGGCCCTACTGAAATCTCTCAGTGCGTGGGCAGGATCTCTGGCCAGAAACCTCGACCTGCTGGCGGGTGATGAAGAGCACGCGAGAAGAGCCGCAGCAGCCAGGAGGAGACCGCCCCCTAGCTTTGTAGCGGGACTCGTCGCAGGAATCACGAATTTTGCTATTAATATTTTAGGTAACTATATTGAGACCTTAGAACTCATGTCACAAGGTGGGTGACGGCACTTACATTGTGGAGGTCTATGGGATCAAGTAACCACTTGATACCAGGTAGGTCGAGTACTCGTCCATCCAATCTTAACAATAAAAAGATCGAGCATTAGTATAGGCAGATCTGGATACTAAACAATAAGTATGCTAATTAATGAATACTGGTAGTCGAAATTCGATTATAATTAATTGAGATTATAAGCTTGTACACTATTATGGTTCTATTGTCGAAGACTATTAAACTTCTATAATCACAGATTTCGCCAAGACTACAACATAGACAAATATTAATAAAGACAAACCATATTTAATCTATTCTCAATTTGACCACAGACTGTACGTATTAAGAAAAGTTTGACAATAAACAAATAGTATGCATGCGAGTGTGTGTCAAATACATGGTAGTGTGCGTAATGTTTTTTATTTATTAATGTATTTTTTATGCATAATTAAAAAAAAAAAAACATTCTGCACTCCTCTATATTCTCTATAAGTGTGAATAATTTCATACTTCTTTGTCCGCACAATATTCGTAAAGAGGTGTACAAAGTTTTTGCTTCACGTATTAATATATAGATTACTGTTCTTCATAACAGGAGCGGTTGGAGGTTTGGCTCACCATCCCTTGGTAGGGGTAGCGGTGGGTGAAACAGAAAGCGGAGCAACCGCCTTGCGAAGGGGTTTGCTGGGTGCTCTGACGAAACCGCTCAGCGCCACAGCTGACTTAGTGGCATACGCTGGACACGGCTTGCTGAGACAGACCGGCTGGGACCCAGTGCCTCAGGTAATGTCTAAGAAAAGTATTGACGATTGTCATCTGGCTTATCTATATATAAATACGTGAATAAAAAACTTTGGACCACTTTTATACGAAAATTGCGCGGACGGAGGAGTATGAAATACCCCACACTTATAGAGAATATAGAAATTAGAGAATATAGAGGAGTGCCGAATTATATTTTTTTTTAAATTATGCATTATTAATATATTAAATCAACAAAAAAATTACACAGCCTACCATGTATTTGATACACACACACACACACACACATATGTATATTCTATATTTATTGTCAAACTTTTGTTGCTTATAGTCTGTGGTCAAATTGAAAATAGTAATATTGTTAATATTGTTTATAGTGTAGTCTTGACGAAATCTGTGATTATAGTTACTAGTCTTTCACAATAGAACCATAATAATGTTCAAACTTATAATTTCAATTAATTATAGTCGGATTTCGACTACGGAGGGACCACTAGTACTAATGAACACGCTGTCGTATTTGTTAGTAAATACCCGATGTTCCTTGGTTAATAGCATTAACCACGGTATAAAGTATGCTATATGTTAACTCAGTTTACAACTATTTTTTGCGTAATTTCAATATACTAGTGGTCCCCGTAGTAGTCGAAATTCGACTATAGCTAAAATTGAAATAAAAAATTTAAATAAACAAACAAATTATGTTTCTATTGTCAAACACTATTATACCTTTTTAATAATACAGATATTAATATATTCTATAATATATAATACAGATTTCGGCATAACTACATTATAGATAAATAATATTAAAGACAAAAATATTAATCCATTCTCAATTTGACCACAGACTTTAAAGAATAACAAAAGTTTCACAATTGACAATACACAAAGAGTATATTTGTACGTATGTTTTGTGTCAAATATATGGTAGTGTGTAATGTTTTCTTTATTGATTTAATGTATTTTTAATGTATAACTTTAAAAAAATATTAGCATTGTGCACTTCTTCTCTATATCCTCTATAAGTGTGGGAAATTTAATCTTCCTCCGTCCGCGCAATTTTCGTAAAAAGGGGTACAATTTTTTTTTTCCTACCAAACTGAGAGCCTTGAGAGGCTTCAGCGTAACCTTAACCAGTAGGTGAGCTCACGGGGCTCAAACCTGACGGCGTTGCTAACACTGGCCCTAGCAAGAGCTGTACCTCGCAGAATCTACCACCGGATCGGAAACGCGACCCACTGAGAAGATCCTGCGAGAAACTCAGTGGGCTATGTCTGTGGGTTAAGGGGTACAAAGTTTTTGCTTCACGTATTAATATATAGATTTCGCATTAATAAGAATACTTGTGTATTTAGTCTATACTAATATATAAATCTACAGTGGTTTTTATGGATATTCCGTTATAACTACTGAACCATGCATTCGATTCACTTGAAACTTGGTATCCATGTAGAAAATACATGTACTTAGTGGATAGGATATTGATGTGAGTGTTGGACTCCCTAATAATGATGACAATCAATAATAATGTTAATTTTAAATGCCCAGCGAAGCGGGCGAATACGGCTAGTGTATTTAGTAGGCGTACCTAAGCAGATACGTTTAAATTTATATACAGCCTCGTGCCACTTTACGGTCGAACGAGACGATATCACGGAACGGCTGGCGACGCGACTGCGTGCGGTGGTCGTTTAGGCTGGCCGAGCTGTCCGCCCTCTCGGGGTTCGAAGCCTTGCTGGATAACGCGCCGCTGCAGCTACTCCTCACACACAAGGTAACATGTTCAGTGCGATTTAGGAACCGATCTATTACTTTACGTTCTAATGAAAAACAGGTTTGATCTAGAAATACACGAAATTCACTGAAACGATTCGCGTGCAACCACTCGCAGGTTGATGGTACTATATGTTAGGGCCTCTTGTAAGTCCGTACTATCTCAAGGTGGGTGGCGCATTTACGTTGTAGATGTATATGGGCTCCAGTAACTGCAGGTGGGCTGGGAGCACGTCCACACATCTAAGCATTAAAAAAAAGTCAGAAACTTTCACTTAAGCACAAATCGTCATAATAAATTTGAATTGAATCATGAGAATTATGCCCCGTCTATCTGAAAATAAATTAAGCAGACAGATGTGCTTAAAAATCGTAGGATATTAAAGAATCCAACCCATTCAAATGGGATATTTTTCTGCAGTAATCGGCAATTATAACTATGTCAAATAAATAAATAAAACATTATTCCTTGACGGTTTCAACTTTGACGGCTTATACATACAGTCGTGGTCAACTAATTAGGGACGATCTCTAGTTAAGCCAAATTGTGAATTTTTTTTTTATTTTCCAACGAGTCTTAGCAATATTCAATATCTTTTACATGTAAGTGTAATTAGTCATTTATGTGCGCGATTATACAAACAATAACAACTTCTTAAACATTAAACCTCTTTACAGTATAGCTGATACATTATCATAGTGCTACTGGTTCAAAGAATGCTGGCTGGCCATTTAATTAGGGACACTGAGGTATTGCGTTCTAATTTCATAATTGGAATTTTAATACTTTTTTGTTTCTTTTCTTATTGTTTAGTGGTCGTTTTGGCGGCAATCCAGATTTTTTATTTTAAGTTTTGAGAATTATTTTGAAGAAAAATGGGCAAAATAAAAGTTGCGATCCAACACTACGAAAAATTATCATGAAGTTTGTCGAGCGTGGTTGGTCATACCGAAGGATAGCACAACATTTAAATTGTTTAAAAACTATGGTATGCAATGCAGTGCAACATTTCAAGCGCTATAACACAGCTTTAAATGTGTTCAGAACAAAAAGATCGAGAAAAACGACTCCGCAAGAAGATAGAATGATAACCAGGTTAGCTAAGAAAGATCCGTTTCTAGGCTCTATTTTAATTAAACACGAAGTGTTTGGGGCAAACGAAAGAGCCGGTGTATCTGCGAGAACCGTTCGACGACGTTTGGTAGAAGCAGGGTTGTTCGGAAGAGTGGCTCGCAAAGGACCGTTGTTGAAGAAAGAACATAGAAATGCTCGTTTGGCATTTGCACGTAAATATGGACATTGGACCTACACCCAATGGCAACATGTACTTTTCTCTGACGAGACCAAGGTTAATTTGATTTCTTCAGATGGAAGGCAATATGTACGGCGTCCTGTAAAAGCGGAAATGAATTCAAGATTCACAAAAAAACAGGTGAAACATGGCGGTGGAAACATTAAAATATGGGGTTCATTTTCTGGACGTGGAGTGGGACCTGTGAGGAAAGTTCAGGGTAACTTAGACCAACATCAATACAAGACGTTATTGGAAGAAACTATGCTTCCCTATGCTGAGGAGCATCTCCCTATTATGTGGACGTTTCAGCAGGATAACGACCCGAAACATACCGCCCTTTCAGTCAAGTCGTTTCTTACCAGTCAGTTTGTATCGGTGCTAGATTGGCCAACAAATAGCCCGGACCTCAACCCAATTGAGCACCTTTGGCACGAAATCAAGAAAAAAGTTGCCACTTATCGTAATACAAATTTGGATGAACTTCATGAAGCTTTTTGTGAGGCATGGGCAAACATTCCTGTCGAAACATGTCAGAAACTGATAATGTCTATGCCACATCGGTGTCAAGCGGTAATTACTAACAAAGGTTTTGCTACTGGGTACTGATTTTACACGTAATAAAATGGAGCTGTTAAAGATATTATAACACTGAAGATTATAAGTTTTGTGTAACTGTATTTTTCATTATACTTTACTGTCCTTAATTAAATGTCCACTACAGAATTGTACCTTAATATTTAATACATGTTTAATCTTTGATATTAAATACTTTTTCTATTTATTAAATCTTTTATTTACAGCCATTTATAGCATAATAATCGGACCACATTATGCAAATAATAGGTGCTGAGAAATCAATAGGGTTTTATATTTAAATGTACATAACCGGTTATAGCCCTTCACTATCTTGAATGTCCCTAATTAGTTGACCACGACTGTATATGGATAAGATTCATTCATTTCTCTATTGTCATTGTTCAGCTTGCTTCTGAATTATCAGAGGACAGCGAAAATCTTGACGATGGCAATGAGATTTGAATAAAATTGTGAAATATTAAAATATAGTATTACCGACATGCAACAGATGGCGTTAGAGTCGCTTGAACAAATTTCATAAATTAGCGAAGGTCAATAAACTGTTTATGACAACAAAAGTGTAATCATTAAAAATCACAAATTAAAATACCTTTAATTTTTTTTATTCATCTGTTGTCCTCGAGTGAATAGCGTTTAGCGATTTGTGCGTGTGCCGTTAAAAGTAACCAAGACTAAAACTCTGCTTACAGTTCCTGGTTGTAGCCGACCCTCAAACGGAACGCATCGTCGAGATGATCGACTTTCGTTTCTGTACTCTGGAGCCTTACCAGGGACCTGTAATACGGGTAATTTTTTACTGATATAATATAATCTGTAATTCGGATAATTTTTGGTAATTTTTTACTGCTACAGTATAATCCGTAATTCAGGTAATTTTTTTCTGCTATAATATAATCTGTAATTCGGGTAATTTTTACTGCATTATTATAATTATTTTTTGGCCATATGGATGGAGGCTTTTTTTGTGCTAACTAGCGAATGATTCACCCTGGGATCAATAACTGCTAACCCAAGCATCAATTATTTTGTAAGCGTGAGACCTTAAAATAAGCGTGTTAATACTGATTTACGATCTGAACCACCGGTAATTGATTATGCAAAGAATCAAATATTGAAGTTTGATTTTTACTCGGTCTTGTCATACCTGCATTGTGAAAGTCACTCGTGAACATGTGTTTAGTACATTACAAAATTGCCTAGTTACAGGATTTGAACACTGACTCAATCACATCGGACGACACGAACACAGCAGTGCACTTAGTGCGAGTCTTGTAACGTTCTCGATAGCGTAAAAGTTAACTGAAATTTGTATGGAATCGGAACGTTTGCCTACGTTTGCCGCTAGGGGCGCTGTTCCAACTCCATACCAATTTAAGTTAACTTTTTCGCTATCGAGAACGTTAAAAAACTCGTAGTAAGCACACAGATGTCTTATTTTTTAGGCCACGACGACTTTATCATTATTTCTTGTACATAGGCACCTTACTGCACTGTTTATTTGATTCAAGGTAAAATACATATTGAATAATTTTTGTAACTATATTTTAGGTCATTATTACATATCCCTAAAAACCTTAAAAAATCTATTTTATTCTATGCTCTATGTATTATCTATTATTATCCACTATTTATTCTCTATCCTATCTTTATGTTCACCGTTATCTTTCCATTTCACTATCAATTGTAGGTTCTCTAGTGTTTGTTTATTGTTTTTTTTATAGCTTATCGTGACTCAGAGAAGGCAATCGAAGTTATTAGAGTCCAGGGCGGTGGACGAAGACGACGAATTTCAGGTAACATTTCGCATAGTTTTTTTTTACATTGATTAATTCGATCCCCTATTAGGTCTTTATCGATATTAGCAGGCTACAAATTGAGATCACAATTATCATCTGAACATCGCTTCATTCACAAAAATAATTTGGTTATCACCAACCACATCTTTATTCTCAGTTTTTAGTAGTATAAAAATCGACTTTTTTGTTTTTTATTACCAATAATTCAGACGTTAATGTCGAAGAAAAACTCATTCAAAGAGTCTTAAATAGACTTTCTTATATTAAGAAATCCCACAGACTAAAATCGGTTCTCTCCTCCCACTATACTTCCAGAATTTGTGTAGCCAGATGTTAAATAAATAATAGTTTAAAAAACTAACAAAATACGCTTTTATAGAAAATCCAACTAACAAATAGAAAATAAATTTTAATAAATTTGAATTAAAAATAGTGTAAGAAGAAATGGTTTTATTGTAAAAAAAGCGTGGGGTGCATGGTATCAGTAGTTATAAATATTTTATGAAAAGATATGACTAGAAGGGCTATTTTGATACCCTGAATCCAGGGCTATCCTGAAAAGCACTATTTTTAATTCCAATTTATTAAAATTTATTTTGATTTTTATTTTAATAGAAAATAAATTTATTGTATTTATTAAAATTTACTTTGAACGCAATTTACTGTCCTATTATTTCGCTAACCGAAAACATTATAAGTTTTACTAAATCCATTAAATAATTTTACTTTAATTTCAAAAAGCATCGAATCAAATATCTATATATTAATACGTGAAGCAAAAACTTTGTATTCCTTTTTACGAAAATTGCGCGGACGGAGGAGTATAAAATTTTTCACACTTATAGAGAATATAGAGAAGAAGTGCACAATGCTAATATTTTTTTTAAATAATGCATAAAAGATACATTAAATCAATAAAGAAAACATTACACACACTACATGCCATGTATTTGACGTACACACGCATGCATACTATTTATTGTCAAGCTTTTGTTCTTCACGTCTGTGGTCATTTGGAATTGAGAATAGATTAAATATTGTTTTTCTTTATTAATATTTTTTTATAGAGTAGCCTCTGCGAAATTAGTTATTATAGAAGTATAAAATACAATCATAATAGTGTACAAACTTACAATTCTAATTAATTATAGTCGAATTTCGACTACGGCGGGACCTCCAATTCTTTTTAATAATTCAATCTTTATAAACACCACGATAATTGTTGGCAGCCTGAATTGTCTTGTAAACGACTTAGCGTTTTTATGTTATTCTTTCCTCACACGTCTTAATCCATTTAGGTTGTGATATGTAATTTGATTAATAAATATTTTTATTCGTTGAACAGATAAGCGCAGCGGCGATGGCGCGAGTGGCTCGGTACACGGGCACAGAGGGCGCGCCGACCTCGGAGTCCCGGGTTCTATCCCTAGTGCCGACAGCTGGGAGGGCTTATGCTCTCCACGTGACTCTAGCAACGCTTCTACATCACAACGTAGATTCTCATTTCCAATTATTGTAATTTATCGATGAAACATCCTTTCGAAAGATTGCCTCGTGAGTTGTAGACGTGATAAAAATATATCGTCTTCTTGCATTAAAACTGTATAATCTCAAAACTCACTAATTTTACAGGAGACTGTTTTAAAGGTTTAACATGTGATATTTTTAATATTAATTATTTTTGCAACATTTTTTTTTTTTTTTAACTAGTTATGTTATCTGTCTTTTAAAATAAGATAAAATTATGTATTAATTTTGTTAATAGTAGTCAAAACATAGGTAAACTAAAAAAAAATTATGAAAAGTAAACTACGCTCTTTTGACAGTATTTATGAGAAAAATACTGTTGATACCAAATGATTCCGTATTTTAACACAATTTCGAATATTTTTGATAATTGTACACTTTTAATGCGAAAAGACGATATAAGAGATCTAATTTAGGGATGTCTCAGTCGAACTACTTACTCACTTCGGCTCGTGACGTTTGTTGAATTTGCAAGACATATCAGAGAGTCAAAGGTGATAATTAAAAAAAACGAAAAAGAAAATTTAAACTGGCAATAAAAATTCTTAATTAATCTCTGGTGGTAAACGGAATGTGACGATTTCTGATGACATCGATCACTCGTGAAAATTTCAAATAAATATTGGAATTTATTATGCGCTTTGTTAAACTCATGGAAATAATGAATTTAGTAACGAACCGTGCAATATTAATGTACGCATAACAATTTAGAAGTGTAACTTCGAAATCGCAAGCAATATTTATCTTTAAGACTAAGATCATAAAGTCCACTTTCATGTGAATAACGATTGTAGTTCCAACAGCTAGAATTGTAAATAATGCGTTTTAAAAACTAGTCTATCTAGATTTTAACTAAATTTAAATTAAGAAAGCTTGAAGATATCATCCGATCATAATAAAGTATGACAATAACATTAGTCACGGGTCTTGTCATTGTTAAAAAAATATTTCTTGAATCGAGTCACAGATTTAAGCTATGTGATAGGAATAGTTTAAATCGTGACGGCATTTATTATAATCGATTCATTTCAGGATTTTAACCCTTTGTGCCAAAAGGAAAAAGTATTTTCAGTCGGTTTAAAATTAATGTAGTTTTTCCTGTCTAATGATATTTTGTTTTGGAACTATTTCTATAATGAACGTGTTAGAATTGCGTGAATGCGTAGATTTATATAATACGTTTATTTCCAAATTTTCTGAATGACATGTTATTTAAATTGTCGCTTATTTTAATCTTTTAAATTTACTTTCAACCTTACTAAGGATATAATAGTATTTATAGCATTTTTTACTAGAGGTACAGTTATAATAATGTCACGTAAAATCCATGAAGTGACCTTTCCAGAGGTCGATGCATTGCAGATTGTCTTCTCATTTCTCGACAGATAAAAGAAAAACATCACATAATTTATATTATAATATTCTGGAAACGCATCAATGTCGTATGTATAAAATTGGTATTGCCTGTATATTTTGTAATGATATTTTTTGGTATTAAAAATAAATATAATTTATGTTAATAACGAACGCAATATTTAGCTTTATGTCGTTTGTTAATTTTTATTTTGTTATAAATAATAGACGACATTAATTCCGGGTCATCATAGTTCGTTTGCCAAGCCTCTCTTAAAAAGAGTATATCAGAAACAGCATAATAAACATATAATTTTAATCAATCATAAATTATATCGTACATTCCAATAACTGACTTTGTATCTTATTCATAATTAATTATTTGAACTCGATAAGCCCATCACAAAAATAATGCCGGCAAAAAGTATTATTCACAGTAAAAATTAATAAAACTTTTAGAATGTTTTGCTCATATGGGGCTTATAAAGCTCCCATAACTGACTATGAATAAAACTGTTAATATTTAATTGCACACATTTGATTACGTTTATTATTTAATAGTTACTAAATAGTGCTTATTAAAAAATTCGCTTTTATCATTGCAATTAAAGTAATTAATGACAATTGAATTGTGATTCGTCGTTGTAAGTATTAGATTCTAGTGAACTTGACTATAGAATTAGTAACAGATCGCTTATAGCTCCTCCTCAATTCAGTTTTACAGTGATTTGGTTAATACTTTGTTTGATATTAAACTTAAAGAAGTTCTTTGGCAAAGCTGATATTTGACTGTCTCTCCTTAGTATTGGAAAACTTAGCGATTGACTTCAGATCCGTGTGTTTGACTAGACCTTTCGAACTAATATAAAATTCCCTTCATAATCCGTCTGTTAAATTTCCTCAAAATTTATTTTATGGTCGATTTTGATTTTCACTTATTACCCCAAATACGTGCATACTGTTTTGTGTACACTCACTTTTTTCACTCATTTTATTGAGTAAATACTTGAAGAAGTTTTTTTATTAAAAACAGTAAAAATAATACTTGTAGAAAGTCTCAGAAGAAATTATATATAACTCATCGACTGACTCTCTACTTCCAAAAATATCATAAGTATCGTTAATAATAGATTAGATTCACAAATAATATTGGTGTCAAGGGCTCTTTGTTGATAGAAATTAGTGGGAAATTCACTTTGGGAGTGGCTTTTAAATTTAAAAGAAATAAGAAAAACGATTTTATTTAAAAACATCATTGAGACACAAATAAATAACAAGCATAATACTTATAGAAGTAGTAATGAAAACTAAAATTTTATAAAAGTATTTTAAACTATCCTTTCGTATATATTATAAGTAAAATGTATTAGCACGAAGTCAGCATTTTCCGGGCGTTGCTTGCTCCTCAATAAAGGCAAGCAGATGTAAGTAAGTTTTTAATCGTACTCTGGTATATCCTGAAAAGTATTACAATGAAACTGAGGTTCTCTTGTGCCAATATCGTAACTACTTGCGTATATACTTCCATAAATATTCCATATTTGATATTTAGAAATAGAAAAGGGTGATTGATGCCCTTGAAAATTGTGTAAATTTCTCTGTGATCGACTTGGTCACGGACTGACCGTATCGAGATCAGTTGGTGACCGTGTATTAGCTCACGCTATAATGGCACATACTTATATCACAATTATATTACAATAATTATTTGTATGTGAAACGAAAATTTTAAATTTTTGTCCTCAAAAGAAAGTATACCAAAATTATAAAATTATTTTATAAATATAATTTTTATGAACGACTTCTTAAATTTACGTTAGATTTAATGTATAAAAAAGTTGTGTGTGTTTTTTTGCGAAATTAAAAATAAACGTGTTTGAAACGATTTTGCATATGTTTTATTTATTTATTTAATGTTTTTTGTGGCGTCAATATAACTAGAAACACAGTAATCCTAACAACATTAATATTACTAATCAAGAAAGAAAGGGCTCATTTTGTAGATCCAACAAGATTCCTTGAGTGAAAAACACTTTCTGAAAGCTTAAAACCACAGTATCGTGTTCAGTGGAATAAATGCAGAGTGTTTATGCTATGCAATTGATACTTCGACTTCAGTGATTCAGTTATGCTTATAAGCTTCGTTAACCACTTAATAGTAAGTTTACCGTAAATTCGTCCGCAACTATAAATAAACAACATACATAAGCAGTCATACACATTTTGTAGAGTTGCCATGAAGAACAATAAATACAAATTACACTTCTTACCATTTAACCCTTTTCTAGATCAATCTTGACCGCAATTGCACTAATAGGCAATTTAAATTCGACTTTGAAATTTAACTGGCTTGACAGTTTCTTGACGAGATGCACCTTGCAATTAGTTGTCATTGAACACGATTACGGCCAATCAAAGATAAATCGATGCACAGTAGAGTGAATTGACGTCAAGGCGTTGACTCTACCGTTGGCCAGTGTTGGACAGCCGGATGGAACCATTAACATTACTAGTTGCATAAAGGGTTGGACGATCAATCATTGCAAATTCAATTGAAGGCCCATTCCATCAGAGCATCTTCGATACAGGCCACACTGATTAATGACACTGTAAATTGGCAATGCGATCGTTTCTTGGAGCATCTACGAGTATAATGTTTTACAGATGATTTCATGACATTAATTGGCCTATATTTTTGAGTTTAGGTTCCCCGACGATTATTGTGATTCAATTTTGACATTCTTTATAATTCGAGATGTATGGGCAGACGTCCATTCTAATTTGAAGAGCGGAATGTGTTGTTTCGAATTTGTCATATTCTTTTTTTCCTACTTATTCTAGTAACCTCGAGGGGCTATTCTAGATCCACCGAACTAGTAGGTGAGCTCACGGGGCTCAAACCGAGAGTGTTGCTAATACTGGCCCTAGCAAGAGCAGTGCTTCGCAGAATCTACCACCGGATCGGAAACGCGACCCACTGAGAAGATCCGGGAGGAACTCAGTGGGCTGTGTCTATGGGTTCATTCGCTCGTCGAGCCCTTCGTCGCAAGCGACGGGTTCGGCGAGGTCGGTGACCGGGTTATTTTCAAGGTTTGTTTGGTTGTATTTAATTAATATTAATATTAATTTTTATGATTATCCTTAACTGATTGTGATCTAGACAGCTAATACATAGATGATACAATCTATCATAATTATACAAAACATATTTCTAATGCTAGGTGGTTCCGTGGCGTGAATTCCAATTAAGGCTTTGATTTGTTTTTATTAAATTCTACAATTTATTCACAAATTAATTATAAATCACGCGAGGACAGAAGAAGGCATTAATAATCAATTGAAGCCCATAATTATTTTATAACGACTGTCCCACCCGTAGCCGTTCCACACGTTCTAGCCGTGTAGGAGCCCAAGAAGATATTTTGGAATTTACTGGAGCGCGGCATGTAAAGGGAAGGGAAGGGGAAAAATAAGGGAGAAACAATAACGAAACTCGATTATAAAGATGAAAGTGTGCAGCTGGAGTGAACAACTTGCTCATGTTATTGCATGCACAACGTTTTGGCTTCAAAGTTAGATTAATGAATAAAATTTGGTGAGATTTCATAAGTATATTAGCTATGACAACACGATATTATAAAATCTTATTTTTTCCTGGCCCTCGGATTATTCATATTAAGATCATTGTTAGATTTTAAACTACCATAGCTGGGATTTCAAGCTGAACATTCTGTGTAATATCTG